CAGCTCCCAGCCCCTCGCGGCTGCTCCTCGAGCCAGCAGGTCCTGCTGCATCTCCGCCCCCGGAGCCCAGCAACCTTGATCCGTGGTTCACAGCACCGAGCACGGCCCAGAGCCAGCCCCGCGCTGCCCCTGCGGCCCGCACAGAGCCCTCCTCAGCCCCACAGCCAAACCGAGCAGCCGATACAGCTGCCCCGGCCGCGACAGGGCAGAGCGCCTGCGCGCAGCCCCGCAGCCACTGCTCATCCTCGGCGCCCCCGCTCCTGTCACAGCCCTCCTGTCCCCGCTCGCCCTCCCCAGGGCCGAGGGCTGCAGGCTGCCCAGGCATGATCTGGCCCACGGACCCAGAAGTTTGTTTTTAAAGACCACAGAGGCCAGCTGAGCAGGCCTTGGTTCAGCCACGGGGCTGCAGAGGTGGCCTCCATGGACGGCCACAGGTTCCGCAGACCCCTGGTGCCCATGCATTCAAACCAGTGACGAGGCTGCACAGAAGACCACAGAGGCTGAACGGGGGCTGAGCTGTGGCTAAGAGTGGATTTGAGATGCCCTGTGGCCTCGGTCCATCTGGCTCCACAGGGAAGTCAAGCCTGCGGCTCCCATCCGCTCACTCCTGCTCTGCGCTGGAGACGTTTCCCTTGCTGGAAAGGCAGGAAGATCCCTCCTGGTTTTCAGCAGCAGAGGGAAATGTATTCTCAGGATGTGCTAAAAATCCCAGATCACCAAGAGCATTAATTGGTTAATGTTAATCATTGAGCTGTGAGGAAGCCCAAGCAGGTGCGGTGGGTTCTGAGGGGGTTCCCGGTCACCCTCCTCCTCAGCAGGGGTTGGGGAGCCCGAACGCAGAGGTGCTCCCGGCACGGCCCCACGTGCAGTGGATCCACCCGCAGTGCCAACGGTGCCGGCGCGCTCGGAGCAGAGCCGCTGCCGCCCAGCAGGGACAGGGAGCGGGACGGGTATTTATAGGCCTTGCACAGGACACCGGTGCCACGCGGGGGCTGCTATAAAAAGCACATCCCCAAAAAGGTCTCGGAGCAGATGCTGGTGCGAAGCCTCCGTGCTGAAGGCTGGAAACAGCCCAGCTTGAATCACACTCCCATTCAGCCAGGTCCTATTGCGTGTCCAGCAAGGAAAAGCTCAGTTATGGCAAGGGGACAGGGCCACGCTGGGAGAAGGAGCGTTTGTCCATGGTGCGTGGAGGGCTGTGACACCGTCACAGGGCTGGCACCTCGCACAGGGACCACCCTCCCGCCTTGCAGGCAGTTACGTGTTGTCCTGTTACACGGAGATCCTCATCGCAGGATGCCAGCGCAGCCAGAAGCTGCCAGGAGGAGCTGGACGCACCTTGGTGAGCTCCAGGACCGTAGGCACCTGGGAACGCATCACGCTACGGGCAAGGCTAAAACTGCACACGTTAAACTTTGACCAACACACGCTAGTTCCATCGGTGACTGGTTGCACATCAGACCAGTCTGTTGCTCCCAAATGGGCGCTGCCTTGGCCTGGCTTTGGAGCTCTGTGTGTCCGTGTCCCGCTCACGCTGCGGGAGACCGGCAGTTTGGAGACGCGGCGGCACCAGTCCGCGCTGCCCTCTGAACTGAACAAGGCTGCGATTGCAAAACTCCCCCGGCAAAACCAGGGAGGAATTTGTGAGGGTCACCCGGCCAAGCGACACTGGCGAAAAAGCAAAGAGGTTTCAACTGCCCCCCCTGCTCTTCCTTCGAGGAGGGCAGCGTCCTGCAGCGAGCAGCAGCGTGCGCTGCGGGAGAGGAGGACGAGCGCCCTGCTGGGAGCCCAGGGCGGGTGAGCAATGTGAGCAATGGAGCAGTGTGGCCAGCCCAAGGGCTGCTCCCTCGTGTGGGTCACGCTCCACAGAGCTCCTCCAGCTCTGGGGGAGATGATGCCCCGGGCCAGCCTGGAGGACAGAGCATGGAGTGATGCTCGTGGCAGCCCTGGGACAACCAGCCCTGGGCAGAGCTTGGCTCGGAAGAGGGGTCTTCTCCGAGCCGCACGATGACAAACCCAGACTCACTGTGTCCTCCTGCCCGTGCGTGGTGGCCCCTGGTGGCCCCATCTTCCCTCGAGCGCCGAGGTATCGCAGCCAGCCCTGCACGCGCCAAGGATCCGCTACAAGCTGCTTTTACAAACACTAGTACATAATGTTTATTTTTAAGTTTCCAATTTATTACAAGTACAGCCCTTAGCAGAAACCCCCTCCCACCCCCCCAACAAGTGACATATATCTTAAAAAAAAAAAAAAGTACAGTTCCAAAGGTTTCACCATGTAGGACCTGCAGAAAAAAATGTTCTATATTAAGGGGACGAAACAAAGCTGCTGAAGGGGGACGTGCGAAATACAAACGTCAGTGCTATTCTGTGGGGCAGGGAGTCAGGGCTGGGGAGGGGAAGTGGCTGCAAAGCTGCCACGGTCTCTGCAGCCACCAACAGTCCAGAACTGAAACACACGCCTGGTACCATCAAAGAATTAAAAAGTCCACAAAACTAGGCTGCAATTTAATCGATGATTTTCTCTTTTAATTATTATTATTCTTGAATCACAGGAGCTGCAACAGCGGTTTTTGTATTTTAAAAAAAATAATAAATCGTTACGGAACAGCCTTGTTATCCTCTGGTTCCAAATTAAGGAGCTACAGGATAAAAAGTTCAAACCCTGATTGTATGATCAAAACCTGTGACAACAGAGAGGGAGAAGGGAGTTAAAAACCATCCTTTTCTTGGAGCAAAGCCAGTGTCTCGAGCGGCAGAACGCGCCGCTGCGGCCTCGACGGCCCCGGGCGCCGGGCACCCCGCGCGCTGCCCTTGCTGTGCGGGAGGAATCGCTGCAGGAGGAGGAGGAGGGAGCCCGGGCGGAGGGGCTGGGGGCTCCCCGCCGCCCCGGCCCTGCCCGCCGCCGTGTGCAGGGTGCGGGGGAATACAAAGCAAACACGATTTCATAGAAACTGTACATGTGCCAAAGCAAGACAACGGTATCTTACAGGTGTTCTTTATACAGGATCACTGCTAGAAACAAGCCACTTTCAATAACTAGAAAAATTAATTTAAAAAGTTACACGGAGCGCGTTTCTGCTGCTCCCTTTGCCCTGGGCTCCCCTGCAGGACGGCAGAAACGAAGCCTTCCCTGCGCCTGCGGCGGCCGCTCCAAGGGCTCCGGGGCGAGGGGGAGCCTCCCGCCTGCTCCGGGCTCCGCAGAGCCCCACGCCGGGACGGCGGCCCCGGGCCGGGGCAGAGCAAGAGCAGCTCGGGCGCGTCGCGATGTTGGTGAAAGCTTTGCCTCCTTACACGTAAGTGCTCACCCGCCCTGTGCGGCCCTTCATCGAGGGGCTCCAGCAAACACCATATAAATATATACACACAAGAACTAGCAGCCCATTGGCCTGCACGCGCCCCGTCCTTCCGTGAAGTGACACGATCCCTCCCCACGCCGGCTCCGAGGCGGGTTTCACATCGCGGGCAGCAGAGCAGAGGTCCCACCGTGCTCCAGCGCTGGCAGCTCCCAGAGGGAGGAGGAAGCGGCTCGTTCCCGGGAAGCCCAAGGTGCCCGGGCTGGAGAGGCCTCCGTGCCCCCGGCGCGGGCCGGGCCTTCGCTCGCCCTCCCGTCCTCCCCTCCGAGCAGGACGGTCTCGCAAGGGCTTTGCCTGTTTCGCACGAAGCAGCACGTCGTCTCTGCTCGCTCAACGGATGTCCAAATACTTCAGGAAATTGCAGAAAAAATAGAACTAGGATGGGCCAAAGGCTGGATCAATAGAGAAGTGCCTGCTGCTTCCTAACTCCCTCCAGACAGCCCATCCTGCCGCCAGCAGCACCAGAAGACCTGCTCCAGCTCTGACTCTCCCCCTAACCTCCCCCATCCCTCATTTCTTCCTCTTCCGCCCCCGGGAATGTTCAAGGGACTCCGGCTCACTGTCCCCTTCCTGTTCCTCCAGTCCCTGGCACCTGGCAGACAGCTGCCTGCGTTTCCTGCGTGCGTATGTGTGGCCAGGCAGGTGTTTGTGCACCATGTCGATCAAACACTGTTCTGTCTTCTCCAGGCAGGACAGGACGTGACTCCCGTTCTGGTTGTAGCGCTCGGCGTTGGAGAACACCTGTTTCATGTCAGACAGGAACTCCTGCACCGAGCGGTAATCGCCGCAGGAGCACTTGCTCTGCATAGTCTGGAAGTCCATAGGGTTGCTGATGACCTCAAAGTAATCTTCAGCTTCCTCTGTGGTCACTGGCTCCCTGCCAAAGGAAGGGCCACAAAGATAGGAGGAAAATGACAATTAGGTCCTGCCAAGTACACAGTTTGGGTCTGCAGAGAAGTGCAGATGACCTCCCCGGCCGCCCCCCTGCACAGCAGCAGCCCTGGCCTGTGCATCCCGCAGTGCTGTGAAACCATCAGGTACTGACAATGCCCAACATGGGTCAGGCCCGGAGGCTGGGCCAACAGCACCAATGGCCAGAGGGCCACACAGCTTGTCCTTCTGCCCAGAAGGCTGGTGTGGGCACAGGGGCTGGCACTCAGAGCTGGGTCCTCTCAGTCACGCAGCGCAGAGAGCGCCCTGCAAGCTCCGCGGCTGCAGGGAGCCCTGGCTGCACCCTCCTCTCCCCAGCCCATGGCCCTTGCTGGTCCTTGAAAGGGCCCTCCTTGCTGTGGGGCTGCCTTCGAAGAGCTCCGCTCCCTAAGCTCAGCAGAGGGCTGAGCATGTGGCGGTTTCTACCAGAAGGATTTCAGATTTTCTCCCTTCCTTCCCCTGTGTAACTTGCTTTCGAAGGCCAGGCCTCATGGCCAGCAAGCGGATCCAGCAGCCTCACAGCATGGCCATCCCCATCCACAGCCACCTGGGGACAGCCCGGCACACGCAGAGGAGCTCATCTGCGCTCACCTGAAGGGCCAGCTAAAGCGGTACTTGACCAATTTGCCGAGGATTTCCTCACATTTCTGCAATTCCAGGGTTTGGCGACGCGCCGTCTTTTTCGTTTGGAGGACCTGGCCATGCAAAGGAGAGATGCTGTTAGAAGGGGGGCTGCTATAGGGCTCAGTGTTCGGCAAACAATTTCCAGGCCAAAGCAGCTGTTTCCTAGCAGTTTTCTTTTCCAACCCTCTCACCTACAAGCTAGTGTCTCAAGGGGTGCAGAGAGGTAGCCCTGCTGCAAAAACAAAGTTTAGGTCTTTCAAACGCAGCCCTGTTTTCCAGTAATCAAGAGGCAAACTGCTGTGGGACCTTTGATGGCAGCAGCCAAGGCACGCTGCGGCAGCTTGAGTTACAGAGCGGGAAGCCCATGCAGAGGCTCCGACAGGAATAGTTTCCACGCAGCCTGTCTTTCCTCCGGGGGCAGCAAGCTTTTTCAAGCTCAGTTCAAAGGCAGCCTGGTCAGAACAAGCAGCCAAAGAGTAAGTGACAGCAAGGGGAGGGCGTGCAGTCCCGCCGCCTCCTCCGAGCCCCTGGAGAGAGTAGGAGGGAGGAAGCGCCTGTGCTGACCCATCAGCACAACCTGCTGCTTCCCAACCACCCCCTCGAGTGCTGCTGTCCTGGAGAGGCACAAACCCGGACCCCAAGGTCAGCCGCTTGCCTGGGGATCTGCCGAGGGTCAGCCCCACTCAGGGGCATCGGCACCGGCTCTGACCGCACGGCTCGAGATGCATCATCACGTAGGGTATGGCAGATGACAGGAAAGCTCCACAAGTCACTGTTCTTGAGCTGGCTCTGGTTTATTTTTTCTCCGAACAGAGAGGAGGTGGTGGAAGAGCTCTAGCTCTTTCCCACGTTGGGGTTTTGTCAAAGTTCACGAGCCTGCCGCTCCAGGAAGACTGCTCCCACTTGAACATCCTTCTAAGCTGGCTGTGGCAGCCCGTGCTGGGCTTGCTCCTTTAGCTTGCCTCCCTCTATAACCCAGAGCAGCTAAAAGGACACTGCAGAGCCACCAGCCACCCACACACCCTACATGAGCAGCAAAGACATCAGTCAAGGGCAACCAAGAGAGGGGATCGGCTGCACCAGCAGCACTCTCAGTGCAGACCCGCAGACACATGGCAGGTCTAGCAGGAGCTTGTGACGTTGCCCCGGGGCTAGAGTATCCTCACGTATCCCCTGCGGGTGTCCCTCTCCAGGACAAGCAGCACGGATCGCTGCAGCTCCGCCCCGCCTAACACACGCACAAGATGACTCTGTTCAGAAGCACAAGGTTTTATTCTTTAAATGTCAAGTGAAACCTAAACCAGCTGAATTATGTCCTGGAGATTGAGGAGGGAGCGTACGGACAACAACTGTCAGAAAACGGCCAAGGCTGGGGAGCGATGGTCCTGCATTGCTGGCATTCTCTGACCGTGCAGGACCCCCGCAGCCCCCCAGCTCTCTGCAGAGACATATGGCTACTATTTAAAACCCTTTAACAAGCTGCAGGCTGCCTGCTAATCAAGCAGGACAATGTGTGAAAGCGGCTGGGGGAAGATGCCTTGCATAGCTGGGCTCCGTTTGTGCCGGGCCCTTGAAGATCTGCCTCTTTTGTCAGCCCGCCCCGGGCCCGCGCGGCTTCGCCGTACAATGCCGGGTATTTCTCAGGGCCGGGGCCACCTGTTTCGTTTCTAGCTCCTGATGTGAGCAAGCAGCCTCCCGGGAGCAATTTGGCTCTTACCAGCTCGTCAATGTCTGCTCCGTTGACAGGTGTGGGCCGCTGCCGCGGTCCCCGGGCCGAGTGCAGGGCCTGCTTCTTCCTTTGGTGCCTTCCCTGCCTGAAGGAGTACATGGCAGCGCTCTGCTTGCCCCGGGCTGGCTTTCTGGGTCGCACTGAAACAAAGAAGCCCAGGGGTTAGAGGAGGAGGTTAACTCACGAGGAGCAAGTGGATCAAATCAAAGCCGGAGGAAGCAACAGCATTGGCCTCACCCCTCCTTACCTGGCTGCGGGAAGGCAAGCCGAGCAACGGTGCCTCGCCAAGGACGCGAGCAAACTCCAGCAATGCTGCCCGCGCGCACACGTGCGAGCAGACGCGCGCTCAGAGATCACACACAGGACACAGGCAGCCCAGACTGACACCCCAAGGGGACATCAGCACCCCCTGTCCAGCCACGCACACCAGGCTGGCGCCCGCAGCACACGAGAGCCACAGGAGTGACCCGGCTTCTTGGCAGTCCCTCCTCGCTCAGCACACGCTCGTGTCAGCTGCGCTCGTGATACTCTCTCCAGAGGGGATACACAGGCGAAAACCTCCTGCCCAAAAAAAGGCCCTTGTTACCTGGCAACAACCTTCTGTTCAAGAGGGATCGCACACACCAGCCTACCACGCTGGCAGATCCTCCACTCTTGGAGCGCTCTGGAGGCTTTTGGCTACTCTGCAGCCGTAGACACTTGCTCTCTCAGGCAATACAAAACCCCTCAGCCTGCAGTCCAGACACATCAAGACTTGAGGGTGGGCAGGGAAAGTCATGTGGGGACATAATTACATCTTGAATGTAACTGCAATGTCCTTTCCGAAAGCAGCGGAAGCGACGAGCTGCCCCAGCACTGAGCTTTCCTGCTGTCCACCTGCTCCTCACTGCCTCGTGGATGGGTGCTTTTCCAAGCAGCCCACACAGCGGGATCAGCCCGCAGCTAAGCCACTCTGCAAAGCAGGTCATGAGCACAGGGAGGGTTGAGTTACTGCAGCAAGGAGCTGCTCCATGTGCTCCAAGTGGAAAGCAAGGGAATTTAGTTGTCAGGATCTGCCGCATTACGTTTCGCAGAAATGCTTGCGAGTCTCAAGAGGGTTTTAAACCGATGGAAATTCAAGGGTGCTGATGAACTCTCTGAGGTTTCTCCCTAGACCCCCCTGTACTGGGTGCACACATTGGTCTTCTCCCCCACGCAGGCTCCTTCCACGTGGTCACCAGCACGGAAGCAACATGTGGGCCCCAGCACAGATTCATTGATGGCCTCTAATCCAGCCCTGTCCCATAAATCATCTTGCCAGGCCCCCCTGCAGGAGGAGCGTGTGTCAGGGCAGTGGGACGTCTGTCTGCTGCCATTCCTGCCTGTGTGTCAAGCGGGCGGCATGTGTTGAATGTTTGACAATCCAACATTCTAGGTTATATCCCTCCGGATAAACGCCACGAGGATTAATGGCACTTCTCTACTAAAACAAAAGTTTTCCACAACGACCTTTCCACACTAATGCTCTTTAAAACCAGGGGTTGCATTTAGTGCTTTATTTTTAGTGACTAACCCTCTTTTGCTATTGTTTGGAAACCTTGGCTTGGCTCCTGACTTGGCCACACAACATGGGCTGAACGCACTCCAAGTGTGCACATGGATACACAGCAGAACGACAAGCAGCAGACAGAGCCAGGGTATCAGGGAACATCCCTGAAACAGGAAAAAAAGTAGGGGAATTGGGATTGACAGACATGGGTGGAAACCCTTGAAAGAACATGGGAAAAACCTTTGGGTTTCAGTCTTCTCAGGATCTGAATTCCACCATCTGCCCTGGCAAAGAGAGTTTAAAGCTAATTTAATGTCAGTCAAGGCCATTTTTGACAGAAAGTAAATGCTGCATGTATGTAAGTTCAAGATTGATCTTTTCTGTGCATTAAGCTATGCCAAATGAGACAGAGTCAAATTCCCCTTAAAAAAAAAAAAAGTGGATACACATACCAGAAAGTGCTGAAGTCCTGTATTTTTGGGTGGAGAAACATCCCCTTTGAGTTAGAAAATGCTGGTTTACTCCATTCAGCTGCCCAGCATGAGTCAGCTGTGTATTCTGAGGGATCTCTGTGTGCACAGGGGTGCTGGGAGTCCAGGTCACATTACACCTTGAGTGCTGTGCCTTCCCCCAGGAATGGAAGGACAGAGCACTAGGTTCTACCAACTGCAAATGCCACTTCACTGAATCACTAGAAACCCTCCATTTAAGAGATTTTGGGCTGGTGGGAAGGGAAAGAGTGAGGAGAGGAGGTAGTGGTTAAATCTTCAGAAGGATCTATTAACAGTGCCTAGTTTACCAGAAAACTCTGAAGACAGAGACAACCAATTAATGCTGTTCCATAGCCCTTTCCTGCTGTCTCAGGGTAGTGACTGGTCAGTGAGCAGCAGCTGACTGCAGTTTCAATCTTTGCTAGGGCTGTCTCAGTCACAAAAGAAAAACATGAAGACAGTTCATTCCAGCTACATGGAGATGCATCACACGACCACAGCATGCCCTTGAGAAACCTTCCACTGATTCAAAGTAAGAACTTGTTCTTTGTGAGGAAAAGCACAAGCCTGAATGTGGATCAGGACTTTGGACAGTGAAGCAGAGACTTAATATTTTCTGTTACTTTCTAGCATGGTCAAAGGCTTACATTTCAGTCCGGCTTCTTCATAGTCTTCCTCCTCTTCTTCTTCCTCCTCAGCATCTTGTTCATCAGAAGCTTCCTCATCTTCTTCAGTTTCATCTTCATCTGAATCCTCTGCATAGTTCCTAGAGCAAGGCATGGAAACACATATGCTGTACCAGAGCCTGGGTATCAGATGCCCTGGGAGTTTCTCTGTTCTGTTTGCTCAGAGACTTGCTGACCACCTCACTGTAAAATAAACATCGAGTTTCAAACCGAAGCAATCTAGCATGTTCCATGTTGTGGCTATGGCTAAAAGGGCACTTCCCAGACCATCGTCTGGAATATCTGGGTTGAAAATCCCCAACAGCTGAGCTTGCACAGCAGAGAAGCAATTTTTGCCATTCTAGGCACCCTGGCCTTGTGATAATGCTGACTGCTGCACAATAACTCCTCACTGGGAGGAAGTGCTGTTGTTTTAGAGAGGTCTAAAGGCCTGGCCCAAGGCATTTCAGAAGAGGGATTTCTCTTTTTCTGTAGGAACACTTTCCCATTCATCCCCTTCACTCTCATGCCACTTTGTGCTGTAGGAAACAGAGCTCATTTAGCATTGTTCAGAACTCAGCTTCTATTTATCACTACACAGGGCATCAAATCAGGCTTATGTACAAATGGCAGAAACCACAAAAATTCCCAGCCCAGGACAGTTCCAATTTTATGCATGGATCCATTCCCAAATATAACAGAAATGGGAAAACAAAGCAGTACATATATACGGAAGGGGACAAGGCAAAGCTGTTGCGGCTGTGCCAGTCCTCTGTCTTGGAAAGAGACAGTCTTGAGCGCTAAAGGGAATAAGCACCAGCTCCTACAGCATCAGAGGCAAAGAGATCCAACGTCAACACTTTTTCTCCTGCTTCAGCTAGGAAGACAGGAGCACAAGGCAGATAGCAAGACAGGTGTTACCCCACCTGATGGCTCTCATCCAGCAGCCAAGCAGCTTGCAGGTGACTCTGCCACATCAAAGTAACTATGATCTCAGGCTAGAACAGCTGCGTTAAAGCCCTGTCATTTTTGTAGAAGCCTCTTGAACTCTTTTAGACAGTGCCCAGTAACTAATACTTCTAAGGCCATACACCACCTGCATATTACAAACTCCTACAGCTCTTATTGTGCTGCCACTTGAGAAGGGAGGATCTGTTGACTGCTTATGCTTCAGATGCCATTTGATAGCCTCACCTTGCTGACAGGCAGGTAGATGTAGCACTGAGCCACACTTAGGAGAGGACATTGCCCAGCATGAACAGAAAAACGTAGTTTGCATGCGTTTAACCTCCAGCCTGCAATTCACAATACAGTTCAACCCTTTTGCTGTCAGATTGCAAATGAATTTGTGTGAGTCCTGCTTCCATTCCTCCTCAAATCACGTTCTTTCTGTGCCTTTATAAAGGTTCCTGCCTTGTTAAGATGCCAAAGCCTATCGGGCCTGGCCAACTGCCAGAGTGGCATTTCACAGCCTGCTTTTATTTGTAGCAGAGTCAGGACTAAGCGACAGCATGGAGTAATATCTGCTTTAACCTGAAGGTCAGAGAGGGAACTTAACTCAGCAAAATACAGCAAGAGCTGCAGTGCTACCAGCTCAACTCGCTGCCCAAACAAAACTGCAGTCCTCCGTGCACAGCGCTTTGGGTGATGTTTTGTGTGAGCTTTCACTGCTGCACCAAAGTTATTTATTAAAACCCCTGAAGTTGTCATGGGTCAGTACAACACAGGTTTGCTAAACTCACAGCCTGAAAAAATTGCTTTTTCTATTGTTCAAGTGCCATCGAGTTAACTTGGCTATTTTGGTTCTGTAAAAGCAGCTCTGTTTAAGGGTTTTTTGTTTCATTTATGCACGTGTGGTGAGAACTCTGCATCTGCAAGAGCTCAGCAGCAATGGAGGGTCACTCACCTGAGCTGCGTCTGGCAGTAGAGGGCTGGCAAGCTGGGCACTGCCATTCGCCATCTGGTATCTCATAGAGCGCAGGTCTCAGACAAAAGAGGTGGAAGGCTTTGTTACACTCGTCGCACAGGATCAGCTTGTCATCCTCACCTAAGAGAGGGTAACTTAGTTGTAACTGAGTGTCCCAACCCGAGAAGCAGAAGTTGCTGCACGCTGGAGGTCAGGACAAAGGGAAAAAAATGATGCAAAGGGCCCTCTGACGGCAGGAACTCTTCCTTATCAGCCCTGCTACGGCAGTGGAAACAAGCAGCACTTTGAAACCCCACACAGCAAAACGCCCAGTCCCCAGAGTGAAGTCCGCATCTCTGAAGGGATTTGCTTTGAGACAGAAACCTGTGAAAGAGGTTCCACTCAGGCTGAATCCCAAATGAAACACAGGACAGGAGATGCTCAGGAGAGTAGTGAGAAGCTACAAATTCAGTTCTGATTCTAGCCTCTGCACAGCATCCCCCTTCTACTCAATGCTGCAAGCCCCCAGAAACCCAGTATGCGGCAGAGCTGGTCCCTCTGTGCCGTTCACTGATGCAGGGGAAAAGGAAAACAGTTCTGAGGCAGCTATTTCATCTATTGAAAGTGCAGAGAGTTTTCCATCCTGTCTCTGATGCCCCATTTTGCTAGCTAAGTGAAACTATAATCCATTCATTTCAGGTGAATCCCCTCTTACATTTGCCTGGATTACCCTCTTGTCAGTAAAAAGAGGAAGTTTTTGCATCTATTTGGAACATCTCTGAAGCTCTACAGTGAGGAAAAATGTTGCACCAGTTCAGAATTCAGCCTCATTTCTTTAAAGAAGTGAACATCATAGTGTTTTGGTAGACAGAAGTGGCCCAGCATCCCCCAAAAGTCTGTCATCATTTCACATTAGTGTTTCTATGAATGGAAAATGAGACAAAAAGACAAGATGAGGAAGGTTGCGCTACCTACCAAGCTCTTCTCTCTGGGCTTTCATCCAGAAGATGTTATGATAGAACAATTACTAAAAGTCTGTTACTATTGGTTTCTTCTATTCCCCCTCCACCTATAAGCCTCTAAAAACCTTCATCACATAGTACTTACAAAGAAGAGACCTCTTGCTGCTGGCTGGTTAATTCCCCAGTGCTACCAGAGCAAGAGCACATGGCAGAGAACCTCTTCCCTCTGCTCTTGGAGAAAGCTTGTTTCCTCCAGCTCATCAAGCAGTTCTGCTACCACTGCTGCCTCCGACTGGCATCATCCCACCTTGCTCTCTCCCCTTATGTCAGAGGGTATTAACCTCTCAAACCTCCTCCTCTTCTTCATTCCATTTGTAAGGGATAGGATTAACTCACAAGATTCAGAGACCCCAAGACGACTCGAATTCAAAAATACAACCAGGAAAGGGATAGTGGCACAAATGTTCCCAGGATTTGAGGATGACTTGTCCAAGTATCCTAAATACCCAGAGAACAGCAGTTCTGCAATGTTTTGCAAGACTGTAGAATGGTTTCATAAGGACAGTTCATTGCAGTCAGGGCCAAATGCTTCTGAGAGATCAGTGCTTCTGACTGTGTAAATCCTGATGCGCAGACCTTAAGATACAGCCAGAGTGACAGACTACAAGGCCGTGTTGCCTGAGCAGGACATGGAGAGGTGACAGTGTCCGCCAGGCGTGGGGCAGGAACGCCTACCTTTCTTGCGACACACTTTGCATCTTGCATTCTCTGCGGACATATCCCACTTGATACAGGCATCCAGCATCCCGAGCAGCACATGCATACGGGAGAAGGTCTGGGCCTCACGGATTGCTGTCTTCCACTTCTCCATGGCTGAAGCAACCTGCAGACAGACCTAACAGCTTACAACAAGGCATATGGATACAGCTCCTCACAGTCTGAAGATGCTTTTATATTATTTAGCTGAGCCCCTAACAACCAATACCCAACTGCTGTACTCCTTTCCTTCTGTGTAGCTCAGACTTATTTGCGGTTTACCCTATAACCAGCCTCACTGGTCTAGACAGCTTGTTCACTACAGCTCTTTTGCACTTCATGGCCAGGCTGAAATAACCTATGAGAACTCCACTACATTCTTTACTCAAAGTCTAACCCAAATAGTTATCAGGCTAAGAAAATAAAAGGCAAAAATTTAGCACTGTAAAATGAAGGATGAAAGCGAAGACACAGCTGACAAGATCATTTGACTGCAGTTGGTTAGAGCAGCCTGTGCTGCCCTCAAGTGGGTTCTGCAGAGATGCTCAAGTCCATCTGCCACACACTTGGTCCTCCAAGCAGTTCATCTGGCAAAGGGGAATGGGACGTTAGCTACAACTAGATTTGACAGGCAAAATATTTTGAGCCCCAAATATGAAACAAGCCCCAGCGATGACCTCGACACGTGTGAAATCCCAGAATGAGCCGCAAGTGAGGATTAGAAACATTAAACCTGAGATTTGCAGGAAGGTGGCTGCTGGAACCTGAACAGAACAAGTTACATACGAAATCTCTGGCTCAGCTCTGGAGGTGGATAAGCAAAGTTATGGGGAATCGGAAATGCCCCGGAACAGAGGAGCAATCCAGGGCCACCACATGTTCAATGAAAACATTAATCCTTTGCTTTACAACAATGAGGTGATGGCCTAGACATGACAGGGACATAATAGGACTCAAGTGAATGTTCTTTTACCCCAGGAGAGTGAAAAAACAAACAGTGAAGTGTCAGATGGGAAAAAACTCAACTCTGCAGCTGACAGCAATTTGGGAGCCAAACAAAACCCAGGATTTTTGCAGAGTTGCACATTCCCCTCCCACTGAATTTGAGGAATTGCAGTATATATTAGATGCTTGGAAAAACACACAGGGTGTGCTATATCCTTGCTGTCAACATCCTCGCTGTCACTGCTTGTGTGGATCCTGCAACTGCAGACATCTCCATGGCAAATGGAAACCTGCATAGCATGTTGTGGCAGATTACATGGTGTTGGGCTCTATTTTTTTGCAAAACCCTGCTGAGGTGCTTCACATACTGCATAATTGATTTTCCAAGTAACCATTCCCTTAGTTTTGCTGGTAACATAGCTGGATAACTGCTGGGCCAAGATAAATCTGCAAAAGCTGCTGGCAAAGTTCATGTAGGTTTTTTTTCTCTCCAAGTCTGTGGAATTTAACAAATTTTTAGCCTTGCTGCCCAAGCATCATGAGACTGTGGCATTTTAGCAACACCACTATCAAGGGAGTTCAGATTGCCAACCAGGCAAAACAGGAGATTGCAAGAAGCTACTCCAATACTTTTCTGAGTGGAGAAGAAGGATCTAGCAGGGAAAACAAAACAAAACCCCAAACGTACCAAAGGTGTCAACTCCAATGTGACAGAAAATACCTGCTTTGGTAAGAAGGGACAAAACCGAGCTAGGAAGCCTCTCATCTAGGATCCTACAAGTAAAGAAATCCCTCTGAGCCACTGAAACTAATTGCTGGGCTGTAAAGCTCTCATCTGCAATCAGGGACTGGTGCAGCCCAGTGCTAGAAGTGAAGCTGGGGCAGCAGCCTCCTCCCTTGCAAACACCTCTGAGCAGCAACAGGGATGGACATCCTGCCCATGCTCCTCCCAGGGTGCTCGGGCAGTTGCAGAGGGCACATAGCTAATTCCTCATCCTATTCTGGGATATTCCAGAGTTTTAATCCTGCAAGGAAACATGTTCATAAAAGCAGAGGCGAAAGAACAGCTTTGAGAAACAGCCATATGCCAGGTCTGCAATGCAATCCTTTGCCATTCAGCAGTGTGAGCTCCAGCGATGCAGCTGAGCCAGCAGAAACCCTTAGTATAGACAATTATGTCAGCACATAGGTGCCTACTAAGCCATAACTTGTTTCTCCCAGGGAGAATGAGACAGAACTATACTGCAAGACCGCAAATTTGCTGCTACAGTCTGCAAACATGCTCAGTGTGTTTTTCCAATGTGGCTATGCTCTATTTTACCTGCATATCTGGCTCTAAAAGACTTCACGATTCTTGGCATATGTAGGCAATTTAGTTTTAAAAGCCTGTCAGGTTTTCTCATCAGATAAATATATCTAACATTTGGGCTGGTCTTTCAAGGTCATCTGAAAAGATTTCCCCTTTTGGCAATAAGAAAGCATATCCTAGATAAACTTAAGTTAAAAAAAGAAGTATCTGATTGTAAATATTCTTTGAACTACTGTGTATGTCTAGGAAACTCTAAGAAAGATAAAGAAGGCACTGCACAAAAAACTACTCCAGGAAAACCCTACTGCCCCAGTGAGTTTTCAGGGGAATAAAGGAACAAACTAAGGTGTTTCAGCCACAACAAACTCTTTCAACTACATTAACCTGGAAACAGGATGTCCAAATCTCTCATTTCCATTTCTGATGAGATTGAGGTCATCCAACTTCACCACATGCTGCAGTGCAGTACGTTAGACCAACCTGGCTTTGCTACAACGAGCGATGCTCTGTAACCACGTCCCTCTGCAGGAGAAACTAATCAAACGCTCCCCATCAAAAGTGGCTCGAAGTTTCAGGCAGATAAAGAGTTAAGTTCTGAAATCTGAGATGGCTTTAGCATTAGTAGGGAAGTAACCAGCGCTTAGATATGGAGTTTGTACTGCTAAATTGCTACCATTTCGTTATTGTGGTAAAGTTGGTATTATTTTTCAAGTGCCAACAGTTATACCTGTAAGACACACTTCTGAAAGCAAGATAAGATTTGGTTTTGTTGCAGATATATGAAATGTGGTGATTCACAGAAATGTGATTCTGTCCCAGAAAAAAAAAAAGACATTTTTACAGCTTTATTTTCTCCTGATAGCTTTTATAATAAGGCAACTTCGCATTCCTACTGGACTATGGACTGGAGCATTCAACATCTATTTTTAAAAGAGCTCATAAAATGCAAGTACAGCAGCACAAATCGGGATTGTGAAAATTTCTTGTGCCTCTAATTATCCTGCTAACGTGGAACTGTCACAGCCTAACAATGAGTTGATGCTCAAATGACAAGGGTCCAGCCCAAACCCCCTAAACAAAAAATAAAACCCAAACCCACATCAATCAAGCATCTACTCTTTCTTTTCAAAGTTGGGAATTTCAAATGCATCTGTTGATCCAATTCTGGTCTTGCTACTTTTACTGAAGTCAGTGGTCAATCAGGGCAGGGCACTTTGAAGGAAAAGGAGAAAAAAAAGAATCATATTATGGGTCACTAACATCCTGTTCAACATGGTATACAGAGGCTACCCTAGGCATCAATGCTCCTCTTCGGATGAAACATGGGAGCAACTCAGCGGCCTGCAGGACCCTATCAAAACTTCCTCAGTTCTTCTCCATGACTTCTGGGTTTTGATTTGGGATGCTATGTCTGTATTCCCACCACAAAGCTTTGCTACTGCAGGAACAAACTGCTCAGATAAGCTGTATACAATGCACAGTTTAACATCCTCTGTGGACGTTGCTATCCAGATGATTTGTGTCCTCCAGCATATTACCCATCTCTAATTGAACCTTACTTCTCACAGTACTCAACATCTTTACCTGTCTCTCTTCTTTATGGATAAAAGGCAGTAAGAATAATTTGTCACTGATTCTACTAGTCAGTCTTCTCTCATGGATACAATTTCTTCTGTTCAGTTCTCTAAAAATATTCCCTATAAAAAGCTTTTGTTTGAGTATCCAACTTGTATAAGAAACTGCACAAAATGAAACACTATCTCATTTCCTGTTTATATAGAGAAAAATCAATCATAACTCCATAGCATTATTTTTATTTTGATACCATCTTTACTCTTCAAAATAACTGTAGAACATCTGGCCCCACATCCCCAAACTGACTGCATTCAAAACCTGGAAGAGGGAGAAACTACATGGGGTTTAGTACTAAATGAAATGTACTATCCCAACCCAAAGAACTCATATTATATCCCAACCCAAAGAGCCCATATTATAGGGCTAAAATAGAGCTCTGAAGACCAATACCTTAGCTTCTTCTACCATTTTCTTCTCTTCATCTACCTCCTCAGCCTTGGCAATGCAGTCCTCTCCTTGATGTTTCCTTCTCTTCTGCTTGGGTGCCATGAAGCCTTGCAGAAACTTCTTAATAACACCAGCCTGGAGTGTAACCACACACTCTCCAAAATCCTTCAGGCTCTCCAGGGAGTATATCTGTTAGGAAGAGCATATGACCATGTAACAGTTGAATATCATCTTTTACTCTGTTTTAGGTAAGCCTGCCCTGGCAAATGGATACATTTGATGCTTAATGCATTATTGATATCCACCATATTCCACGTTTCCACGTACAGTTACAGATTCAGCATGTGACTGCTGCTTCTGCTAGAGCTAACACGCTGCTGATGATCATGCATAGCACTTAAATGTTAATGTCAGTCCAGGGAAAAAAAAACAAACAAAAAAAACCATGATGCATTAAAAAAAAATAAATTCACAATGACCAAGCACTAAGCAAGTCTTCCTTTAGCCACTTCATTTTTCCTCTGCATCTCTTAAAATTTATGGTCTCCTCTACATGTCACTGCGGTGACTGAGATGGAGATTAACAGGGCATGGATGACTCCAAAGCAGAGAACACTGCCCTTTGGCAAGGGGAGCAGACACTAACCAAGGGAGTGTGTGCTCTGCCTATGCCTGGTACGTTTATCCCCTCTTAAAGTCCTTCAGTGCACCAGGGCTGCTCAGGTGAATTAGGCTGAAGTAGCTAGAACACTGAAAATTCACTCATCAGTTCTGCACAACCGCTTCCTCGGGCTGACAAAACCAGGAACAGAACAGCCGTTAGCTCCTGGAAGTGGAGCACAATCATTACCCCAAGCCTAAGTTAGTTTGAATTTACGGAAACCCCAAAATGGAAACCTGCTGTCTCGCAAAACATGCTGGCTTCAACACAGAAGCTAAATGTAACCTACAAAGAGCTCTGCTAAAGCTCAGTAAAAAGGTCTGACATCAGATGTGGAAAACGGGATGAGCAGAACAGCTAGCTTCAAAATTACGACCTACCTACACCAAAAGGATCCTAATGGAGCAGCTACATAATCTTTTGGAAAGAGGACATGCACAAGAAAATGCTACTATTTTCCTGAACCTCTCATTTGAGAAGAACCAAAGGCTCAAGAGCGTCCACAAAAGGTATCAACTCATGTTTTGTCTTTTTGGTACTACTTTGCCTCTTCACTCACTCTGGCTTCAAATTCTGGTGTCACATCAACATATCCCAGCCCTCCTTTCTGCAGGCGGGTTGCAACCTCAATTAGATCACTTCGAAGGTAGTTCAGCAGTTCCTGGTTACCATCACAGGATTTAAGGCCCAGGTTCTGTTTCCGAGCCAAATGGATAGAATGTGTGATGTCCTGATACCTGCAAAATCAAGAACAACCTTTGAACACGTGCGGGCCAGTGCCTTGTATGTTGTGAGGGCACTGGGGCAACGACAGCATCCAGTGCGACCTGCATGCTCCAGCAGTGCAGAATATTCTTTGTAAATACTCAAAAAGGTACGTGGTACTCCCGCCTCTGGTATGACACAACGTTGCCTTTGCTTCCAGGTGCAAGGAGAAAAATTTGACAGAATCTCTTTACAATTTTGACTGTTACTGATCAAGAACTTAGAGTTACTGTCTAAGAGAGTATATTTCTCATTCTAAATAGCCTCTCCTCTCCGGCACATGCACAAAGCAAAGCATGGAAGTGTGCCCCAGGAATGGAAAGGCTGGCTATGAAGTGGATATACTTTGACTTTGAGAAGGCACATAGAAAAATAGAACAAAACAACAGGCTCACTTCTTCTCCAGACGCTCCTTTAGCTGACTCTCTCTCACTCCTTTTGGGTGCAGGGAATCCAGCAGCTCATCCAAATCCTTCTGACTGTCACAGAGAAACCTGCAAGATAGAACATGCACCAACATCAGCTCTAGGATATCTATGGCAAGACTTATATTTCTCCTAAATAGTTCACAAATATTAATAAGCAGGGATCATAACTAACCTATATTTCAACCCCATAGAGCAAGGTGAGACACTTCCACTTATGCTGGTATAAGAATTTTGACTAAGATTGGCCTCATTTACAGGTCTGCAAATGCAGCTAAATCCAGGATAGGGAAAATAGAAGCAAAAGAAAAACTTGAATTGCCACTTGAATTTCATCATCTACCCTAGGGATTTGATTTATTAAATTGCAGTCATTTTAAGTAATCTGAATATATTTTTTAATACACCAGAAAAAGATTAGCATGTTATGTTCTGCACAGCAGGGCAATTTCATCATTCTTTATGCAGAGCCTTCAACAAGAAGTCCATAGATTAAAAAAGGGTATATCCTAGTTTATACCATGATTGCTGAAGTTGTAGATTTGGGACTGTGAAGGTTATGATCTCTACCAGCGCAGAATTTCTCACTGTAAGAAGCAAGCATTAGCTTGAAGCTCAAACGCAGCGTGTGGAAACCGTATTCATCAGCTTTAAACCTTTCTCCTCAGAAAGCCTCTAAGAAGGGCAATGATCAGCTGCCATTAGTTGAATCTAAAAGGGTCAAACTTTGGAAGACTTTTCTACGCAAGGCACTACAAGCAATTCCACAGAACAATCCAATGCAATCTACCCACTGGCTTTAATGCTGGGCTGCAGATCTAAAATAGCTTTAAGACAGTCTCAAATTCCGCACTTTTCCTACCACCATTTTCAATAATGCTATGGAGCTTCGTCACCTGAGAGGGAGGTGGAATTCAGCTTGAGCTTCAGAGTTCAGAGTTCTAAATGGATGTTGCTGATAAAACTTCTAGAAGAGAATTGCTCTGGGAAAAGGAAAGCCAGGGAATTGTAGGGACCACTATATGATCCTTACTGGCCAAAGTGAAGACTCCAGACCAAATTCTAATTCTTGGGCACAAGCGCAGAAGAGCCAAGCAAAGGCTAAAGAAAGATGCTGCTCTATCTAGCTCCTCTTGGAATAAGAATATTTACAGTTCTTTTTTTTCATTCCAGCAAAAATACTTACTGAATAACATATTTTAAAAGCAACCACTTCAGAGGTGATGTGCTTAAATTAGAGGAATTGGCTAACTTTATTTGCAATTTTAGTAGATTAAACGCAGCAATCAAACAGAGGAGGAATTGCTTAAAAACTAAGAGTTAGAAGAAGAAGAATGATTTCTTGCCCATCACCTGCTTCAGCACACTTCAACGCTGCAGCAGCCTCCCTTTGCAAACATCTAATCTTTTGGAAATCCTTATCCTCTGCACACCCTCCCTAGGAGGAATAGGACAGAACAGGTCCAAGCCTCCTTCACTCACTGGAGCCTATAGGCACTGCAAAAGTGTCAGTGATTGAGGACTGCTCATGACACCCCACAAACCATTACAGAAACCCAAGACAAACCCTTGACTTTAGTAGAAACACAGCTTGTGTCTTCTTCTGATAGATGCTATGGTTGAACTTGATGATCTTGAAGTTTTTTTTCCAACCATAATGATTCTATGATTCTGCTTATGGTGACTAACTAGCACTCCTACATTCACAGACTACTGCAAGCATTTCTAAATTCTAGCATTTCTAAATCTATTAGACTTCTCCTAAATAAAGAGAAAATCTCTAGAATGTTTCAAATTAGCCTCCAAAATTTTGAGACAAACCTTGGTATCAATCCTAAACCATTATTTCAAGTAAGAAGAATCTGTCAATATGGGAATGTCATAAAACAAACCTCAAAACAGTCATCCTGTAGATGAGGGGAAGACCTCTCAGGAACCTTGAGAAACTACTGCAAGCATTTCTAAATTCTAGCCTCTTCATCCTGTAGATGAGGGGAGGACCTCTCAGGAACCTTGAGACGGTTGTCTAGGTCAGCCTGAAAGCATGTATCACTGCTGGTGGTACACCAAGGAATTTATTTGGAAAATAACTGAGAAAATATTGCCTGAGCTTTCTCAGCTTTCCCCACAGCTGCAAATGTAAGAATGGATTTCTGTACATTGCTTTGTCCTATTGTAAAAATGAAAGGCTGATGGAAATAGCCACAGCATGGCTCTTGGATTCAACAGTGTATGATGTGGGTTGGGGAAGACAACGCAGGTTGCCAGATAGACTTAGAGTGAGAAAGCAGGTATCATCCTTGAAAGGAAGGGAGGTGGAAGTCATAGCACACCGTGGTTCTCAGTGAAAAGCAAATGGGATGTGGATGGGAGAGAATCTACAATGGGCACCTGGGACTTGCCAACTCTTCCTGAGAGAAAGACCTGGGGCTTGAGGGAGTTAGACTTCTTTTATACCACCCTGAACCCAAACGTGGGACATTATCTTGATTTGGAGCACCTTGATGCTCCGAGCAGTGACAGCCCTGCTTTCCAAGCCAGGACCATGTGCTCTCTACTACCTGAAGGAAGGACCTTATGTTTCCAACTAGGATCTCAACTAGCATGAGGCTAGGAGTAGGGATGTGATAAAACATTTTAATGGGGGGAGGCAGTAGGGTTATCAGCTTGTGGGGTTTAGTAACACGGAGGGGAAAATAAGTGATGGCATTCAGGTGGTCTGACAGAGTTCATCCCAAGTAAGGGGGAAAAAAAAACATAGGGGAGAGTTGAGACCTTAGTTTTATACTTAGATGGAGTACTTCAAACTGGCCTTATAGTGGGAATAACACCAATTTATTTTTTTGTTTGGTTTTTCTTCTTGCAATTCTGGGAGTACAAGCCAGCAGACTGCTCAGCAATGATAACAGATGAGACAACTGACACAAGTCTTAGGTAAAAAGAAGCTATTAACATTCACTCATGTTGACTATTCTTCCTGTTCTCAGGTTATTGACTGTGAGGGACAGACAGGGAAGTATAAAACCTGAACTGAAGTCTAGGAATGAAGAAATCAAGAGGACAACACCTAGAGGAGCCCAGGATCAGTACCTGCTCTGGAGGGTTGGTGGCAAACAGGGCAACTCCATCTGTAGAATATAGGCATGAGAACGGAGTCTTTCAGCACTCGCTCATGGTTAACTCAAATTGTCTGCTGAGGGGACCCGCCACAGCATGGTGGATTCCTAATAGATGAAGAACAACGGGAGTTACTCTGTACAGATGCCACTATTTCAAAAATTCACCTGCTTGCTGGCCTGGATGAGTTAGAAGTCTCCCGCATACTGTAAAGGCTTGGGGTCACCTGTAGTTCTTGAAGGAAAGACAAGCATGTGCAGAGCTTATGAAGCACTACAGTATGGACAAAAGATTTTTTTCCAGGAACCATCTGCCCAGAAGATTTTAATGGGGAGCTTTTTAAATAAGTATCAACAATGGTGAAAATGGTGAACAGTGTTAGAAACGAGACTGGCCCATCTGCCCAGGGAAGACAGGAACTAGGACAAATAGCCAAGCCTTTACCATTCGGACAGACAGAACACCTAGAGTTCTTCTTTTGGGGCAAAAAGTACTGAAAGCAGAACCACTTGAGACAGTTTCAGTGGCTCTTGGCAGAAGAATGGATTCCTTCTCCCTCTTTCTTCTTTGTCCCATGAGCTCCCACTCTCAAGAAGGGCAGTACTGTGAAATACAGCTATTCATGGAGTTGACCTGGTAGTCACTTCTGAGATGCATTGACCTTGGGTAAAAACAGGGTAAAGCCCAAGCTGTTCTACTGTCACTGTGAGCCTATTCTTAATCTCACCTAAAACAGACAACTAGGAAAGAAACAGAGTAGGAGTTAAAGCAAAGAAATAAGTTCTCTTATGTACCAGGTGCTAGCCCTGGGAGTTAGAGCTGAACCAGCTCTGCTATGCAAACACCAAGGGTATAGGTATCTAATGACTTCAGTGTGATCTTTGAGCTTCCCAGTGCGGGCAAAGACAATGTGCAAAAAGCAGCCAAAGAGAAGACTTTATAACTACCTACTGCCCAGGGGAGCCCTTGAGACTGCAGACAGGTCAGTAGCAATGGCCACACAGCAAAATACTGTCACAGAAACACACCTTTCCTCAGACAGAAACTCTAGTTACTGGCTATCCTCTGAAATAATATATTTCAAATTGTCCCATTTTTCTTTCTTTTTTTTTTTTTTTCTCTTGGTGGAAGCTTACCTGTGAATGGCAAGTGTTGTCAGACAGGTATTTAGCAAACAGGTTCTCTGCATTTCTAAAGCTTTAAAGAAAAGTCTTTCAGCTGAAGAAGCTTACTGCTTATCTGTAGGGAATGGCTATAGGAGGCCTGTCCATTTGGAGAAAAGTCATGCAGACAGCACAAAAGAAGGCTAAATTGGAAGTGGTTATCCTTAGTAAGTGGCTACAGATTTTGTCTCAGAGTCTTCATTTGCATTGCTTTACCTTGACATCCCAACACAATCAGTTTCCCTGGGCGAGAAATGAACACGGACACAAGATTCTCTAGCAGTAAAAATGAGCAAATGCTGTGCTTGTTAGCTGTGCTTCCTAATATGCCCCAAAACGGACAGAAATCGAAGACTCAACAACAAAAGAATTAGGCAAAAAAAAAAAAAAAAAAAGGCAGTTTTTTTTATATCTCAATGGCAGAACAGGCACATAGTGACATTTCCTTAACCTGCCCCTGCAGCTTTCAGCATCTACAGCTGGAGAACTGTGTGTCAGGCTGTTATCTTTGTCCTTACCAATTGATAAACGTTTTGCAGTGATTTGTCTAAGTGGTGTTTTGAACCCGAGCAGGGCTGGAGAAGCAGAGCAGGTGGTAGCAGTGAGTTGCACTCACCAACTGCCCAATGTGCAGCAGTACTTTCCTTTCTCCTCCCCAAACCGCCATTTGCTAAGTTAATTGGCTGATCACTTGGTTTTATATCAAGAGAAAATACTCTTCTTTTAGGTGACTTCTCCTTTCCTCTCTTAGCATTACTGACCTCTACCATCCAACTGAATGTAAAAATGACTTAATTACTTCTGTAATTTGTTTCCTATTTCTTAACTAATTATTCACTTATGAAATCTTTCCTCTTATCCAAAGCAGTTTAGCTTCTCTCAGGTCCTGTAACAACAGAGCTAATAAAACAGATCCTTCCTCACAGAGTAAAAACTGTTTTGCCTTCATTTTGTACTTTGCTTTATTCTCTTTATCTCCTTCATTGAGGCTTGTTAAAAAACAATCATGGTTTTAAAGTAGGCCTTCTTTCTTTTAACAACTTTACCCTGATATGAATCATACAGGCATTGTTTTTGTTACTGTTTTATTTCTGAGATTCCTCAAATCTATTTTTTTTTTTCAAATGTAAGAGGCACTTGCTTTGAACAACTAGCATAGGAACTTCAAAACAATCTCTTTGAAAGCCTTTTAAGCCTTTGCCTGCAACCTCCAGGGTCCACCCCCTTCTTTTTAGAAATCATTTTAATTTTTTTATGTAGCTTTCATTTTTAAGAAAAGCGTGACTGTAGCAAATCTGTTGTCTCTTGTGCTCTCAGGAAAATGGTGTATCTAAGCACATAATGGTCACTTCTTACAAAGCAGCTCTTGGATAATAAAACACAATTCAGGGCTCAGAGGATACTGGACTGGTTCAAAGGCTGCTTCTCCTCTATTGGGTTCTATGGCTGGTTACTCTATAAAACATTCCTCTCTTTTTAACCTCCCTGATCTTTCTGTCTGTCACCAAGAGCTGCCAACTTCACTGAGCTATTCAAATACGATGTTCTTCCATCCTTGGCATGGAATTCCAAATCACAAGGACTTTGCATTGCTTGTTATCTCATCTGATTTGACTTTGCGTCGTTTGTAATTTATAGCATCCTGCACCACTATTAAAAGCTCTTGTTTTCCTTACACAGTTTGTCCTTCTGGTGCACATACTGCCATCTCTGCTACACAGAGACCAAGCATCAGAAAAGGTAGTTAGAAAGAGCAGAGAGGACTATCCTGCAACTTCCTCCAAGACCTCCTATTGAGCACCCACTTCCTTAGAATACCCAATTACTTGAATTTTGGCTAACAGGTGTGCAAAGGACTAGACTGAGGTAGGGGGTGCAGGTTGGCAGGGTGCTATTAGACAGCATGTGGGCAAGCAGGGAAACTGCTGTCTCCAAGACTTGCTGGCAGTGGAAGAGTACGGCTAGAACAAGCCAAAGAATCAGCACTCAATGCAGGTTGCTTTAGACGAGTCAAGAGGTCCACAAACTTCAGGGTCTGACATTTCACGGTTGCAGAAGCAGGAATATTTTTAGTAAAGTACTTCTAACTTCTTATGGCAGCAGTGGAACTATGTTTTGAAGGTAAGTTTACAATTGGTGATAATTCTTCTAGCACAAGGGCATTGCTGATCACTCCTTACCGTGTACGGCAATGGTCCACAAAGAAAATTTCCTATAAAAGAGGCACTGGTAGGGCCAATCACTGGAGTGAGTCATCACCAGATTTGCTTGAAGGTACAGAATTTAAATATGATTGATTCAGTTAAAAGATGTGTTGGTGACTATTGCTTGGCAAAATACGTAGCTGTCTATATAGAAGAAAAAAATTCGCTAAGCTGTAATATTTATCAGTAAGTACAGGATTTGATTCCATGGTGTGGTGCTAGAACAAATTGACACGACCACAGTACATTTTGAAATCTTGGAAGAAAGATGACACTGAGGACACGTGTGCCTCATAGCACAAGGACGTGCAGGGTATAGGTCTGGCTCCAAAGATCTCAATGAAAGAAACTTTGATTTCATGTGCTCGAGGATCACACATTCCATAACTCAGGTCTGCTGAGAAGAGCCATGAAAAACCAGGCATTGTTAGGTAGGTCATATCTTTTCGTTGTTGCAGTTGTTTTGTTTAGCAGTTCTTAAAAAAGCCCACAAAAAAGAAATGATAATTCTTTCCTAGTTAAAGTATAAAAACAATACCCCAAAGCAGTTTTACTAGGTTAATTTACATTGGCTTTAAATCAGATTAATTGGGCCGACTAGAACGATTCAATCAGCTCTGGGATCAGCTCCCCTATTGCCCCTTCGTTACTAGTATCAATAATAGAGGCCTAGCAGGCTGCTAAATTAAGTACTGAAAGTGTAATAGGATCCAAGGCGACCATCAGCTCTCAGGAGAAACAGAAAGTACATGTTCAATATCACTATTATTCTGCACTGTATCAAATGAAATCTCTATATAGTTTCCTCGACTTTTATGCTTTGAGTATTTTGCAGGTAGAAATGCATGCATTACCAGAGGTTCTGTCCTTGTTTAGGTGCAGTGGTCTCTGTGGGGATGTCTGCAACGTGCACAGACCGGTGATGGAGGCTCACTCTGCCGTCGGCGCCTGCACCCTTCCGCTTATCTGCGGGAGAAAAGCACAAGCTCAGAAACGCAGCTGCACTCACATTCCCCTCAATCAGCATTTTTATTTTGCAAAAACTAAACTACCTCCAGTTAAAGCGTTTATAGTCAGCACGTAGTTCAGCAGTCTGTTGACAAAAGCTGCTCTAGCATTATTTGGCTAAATGTGGTATAACTATTTATAGAAACACCCAAAAGATAACCAACCTTTGGAGAAAATATTACTGCCAGAGGACCAGAGGAAAAGTAACTGTGGATCTTCTTATGGGAGCAGGGCCCAGAGGCAGCTACCAGAATCTGCTGTCAGCAGCTCACTGCAGGCAACTGGCAAGCAGACTCTGCTCCCCAGGGCTGGGTAGAAGCAGCTTTACCTAGTGTACAATACAGGTAACATCTAAAACGTCCCTAAAGCTTGGTATCAAATTTATCTACCACATTGAGGATGCAACATTTTAGAAAAATAGCAGGTTGTGCTGCACTGCTGCCTTTGATCTTATGTGCTGGGTCAAGCACTTCGGAGGATAAACTTTTCTCCAAAGAAGAATATTGATACAGGAAAAAGATTAGAGCAACCCACTGCACAAGGCAGACTTCTGAACTTAAGCAGGAATAAAATCCACAGCAGATCCAGTTGTTCCTCACCCTGTAAGTGCTGTTCAAATAGTACCTGGGTGTTCAGTGCATCAAAAAGTGAAAAATCAGTTAACAGGCACTTTGGTTAAAAGATGCTGTTACCCCACTGATGCAATGTAAACAGGAATATATAGTTTATGGACAAACCAGTATTGCTCTGCTCCACCTGCTATTGAAGCCTGGAGTTCTGCCCGTGGTTTTGGAAATTCCAGACAAGGTACCGGATCAGCTGGAGAGTTTAACTGGACCAAAGGGGTCTTTTAAGACTGTAAGCTACAGAAAACAGCCAAGAGAGGCTGGCACAAAGAGACTTTAGACTTGGGGAAGCAGAGAAATGCAGGTGGATGTAGCTACTCGTTAGTTTGTAGAAGGTTGACAGCAGAGAAAGGAAACAAGTCTGTTTCCCCAGGCCTGCTAGAAAAGTTCAGAGTTGAATGCAGCAGGTTAGACACTGAGGAAGATGACAACAAATACAAGACTGACTGCTTTGCAGGGATGCACTCTCTGCTGCTGAAGAATTTCAAGCTTAGGTTGCTCAAAAGCCTGCCAAGGATGCAGTTCCTTTTGCTTTGGACCAAAAAAAACCCAAACAAACCCAAACAAACAAAAACAAACCAATAAACTTTCAGCCCTGCTTTGTAGGATGATGCTGTGTGAGCCTCCTAATGCAGGCCCAAATTCATCTAAGGTGAAATTTCAAAAGGAAACATGCCAAAATCTCATGTAGTAACTAGATAAATACTTAGGCAGCACTTAATATTGGAAGCAAGTCAATATATACCAACGTGACTGCTCAGTATTTGAACAAATTCACGCACATACATAAACACACACACAAAAAAAATCCACTGAGGCAGTGCGGAGCAACGAGCTATTCAACAAGTCTGCAAGATGCAGGTGAGTGGAATGTACATCCCAGAAATATCACTCTGCAATCGCTGTGGTCTATTCCTCTACTACCAAGTGAGGTAGTAGAAGTGTTCTGATTTAAAGTGCTCTGATTTAACTCCGAACAACCTCTTTCATGCAGTATTGGTGCAGATGGACTCCATGGGAGGTTAAGGTGTTCCAAAAGCAGCAAAGTACTGAAACTGTAATTTTAATTCGATTGCAGCACACTTCTGTAACATGAAAGCATTACGTTTGCCTCCCTGCAGAAGGATGTGAAACGCAGAAGGCGGCAGTAAATAACATAGTTACTTCACAGCTGACATCACCTTGACTGCTTTAAAGTGAGAAAGTCTTATTCCATGTCCCTTATCTGTCACGATCTGCAGCAGCATCAAGGTCATCATGAGCATCACATTTTTGTGTGTGCAGGCTCCTGAGTTTACAGCAGACTCACATTGCAGGACCCACAGGAAGACATTCAGACCAACCAGCTCGCTCTCACATTCGCGAGGCCATCCTAATAGCCAAACAGCAAAGGAAGCACACAAATAAGCTAGCAGATCATACCTACTGGGCTGTAGTCCTTTTTTGAATCCTCCTTTTTCTGATGGGGCAGGATGAATCTGTAATCTATGCTGTCATGTACCCAGCCTTTTTCAATGAATAATCCAGGAACCTCATCTGAAAACAGCCAATACCTGCAAAGAACACATATATATTTAGGGGTACCTGTGTCCACTTCTGACTACAGTCACACACCATCCATCTTCATTTGCACAAGGTGCATCTATGGGGGGAAGAATCTGTGGGCTTGACTCCACAAAAACCAATTTTATATCATTAGTACAACCACAGTTCAAAGGAAAGATTTTCATTACAAACTACTTTAAGAGCCTTCCTGTGCAACAAACATGAAGAGAAGACAGAAAGTAGATTCTTGGCTGCTGATGCAGCACTTGAAGCTCCACTGGACAGCAGATATTGACCTCCATGGCAAGGCCAGAAAAGTCTGGCAAAACAATGGAGGGTGGTTATGCTCTGACAAAATACCCCCTTCTCCTCTCCTCTGCAGTTGAAAGTTGACAAGGAGTTTTCCAAGTAACCTTCAGAATAAACACTCCTTAGTTGCTCCTGTCTGTGAAAGTCAGTACCTGAAGGGAGACCCAGGGCAGGGGATGATGCCCTTTCCTACCTGTTGTGGTTACGATCCGTGCCGATCGGGGTCCTGCGCATCACCAGCTTGGCTTTGGCAATTCCATCCTGGAAAGTTTTCTCAGCTGCAGCCTTATGCCTCCGGATTCTCTCTTCCTCTGCTTCTTTCTCCATCTTTACTGTTGGAATTAGCACAGAGAAGCGTCAGTCATCTTCTACCGTATCTAGAGATCAATACCCTCCTTTATTTTACCAGGTTGGGGGTGAGGGTGTTGGAAACGGAATAATTTATTAATGACAAGGTTAATATTCTTTTAACACAGCCATCCACCTTTTACCTCATCTTCCACCCTTCATTCTGGAAAAACAAAAACAAACAAACAAACCAAAACACCAAAGTGAGGGGGGAAAAAAAAGTCAAGTCGTAAGAATGAACTAGGAGAAGGGGAAGTTTGGATGACTGTGGGGATTATTCCTCATTACATATCAATAAAACAGTATCCATTGCTTTTCAACCCCATAGAGTAAAGAGTTGATGGTCTTTCTTGAAGTAGAGCACAATGTATCACAAAGACAGCTAAAACTTCGGGAGTAGTCCAGATATGACAGCATGGAAATCAGCATGGATAATGGATACCTGCAATTCCATGGCTGCAGCTGTGGGGAACACTCTTCCCAGAAGCTTACCTCCCAAACGAATGAATTTGGGGCACACTGGTCAACTGTGCCAGCTTCTGACACAAGCATTGAACTAACAACACTAATAAGAAGTCACCTATCTCGACTCCTCGTGGGTTCCAGACACGCTATCAGGGCGGGTTAACGCCGGTGTGTACGGGTCATTCCCTGGCTGCTGTCCGAAGGAGAAGGCCAACTCCTGCTAGGACTTTTCCCAAGGCACTGCCTACTCTTTCTCTTGCAGCCATTTTCTGTATCTAAATAGGTTTGATAAGAGTTGACTGGTAAATACCTGGTAAGTCTATGAAGTCCTGCCAATGTAATTGGTCCTGACTAATTGGAAGAAAAACGACGAAAAACAAACCCTTGCATTTGTAACACCAACTCCATACACTAACTTGTAGGTAACAACACACCAGTGGCGCAGCATGGGAACCCTGTTGTGTTCTGCTGTACCAGAAGGCCCTCTGCAAGCAGCTGCCAAATCCATGTTTATAACTGCCAGCTCCTCCCTAAACTTATCCCTGAAGCTAGAAGTAGCAACATCCATTCCCACGGGGCGGAATGCCTTCCACCACCGACACCCGGGCACTCCTGCAGCAGGAGACGGCACTAGGGCACGCACTGCCGCCCCCTTTGACCAAAAAGGAAACTGAGATTAAGTGATTTCCCAGTGATTTCACTTCTTTGGCTCCTTCACAAAACTTGCTAAGGTCACCCCATTTCCCCATTCATACAACCTTTATTTATTTTTACTAGTGTTTTTATCTGGTGGCAATTTAAGTCATGATATATTTCAATGTATATTTAAAAGCAATCCGCTTTAAGCTGACAAAAGAGATCCCCTCTTCCATAGGGAGCCAAGTGACATAATGAGGACCTCCCAGCTGACAGCTCACTGACAACAGCTCCAACCTCAAACAGATCCTGCATGAAGAGAAAGCAAGGAGTTGGTTTAAAAGGAAACAAACAAAAAAATCATTCAGATGCCCATTTTTCACCTGTATTATTAGTACGATATTTGCCACAGCTATTGAAAATTAGTCTCAAGAAGCACAGCCTGGGGCTTACTGAATTGCTGAAGGGTAGTTGGGAAAAGATAGGGTAAAGTTATCCAAGTTTTACACAGTCACACATTTAGGGAGAGGAGGATTGAAGCAAAATGAATTCAGTGATCTTCCTCAATAGGTGTCCTTAACAACCCTCGTACAGGCAGTGCAAAGACGGATACGTAACAGCCCTTGACTTGTTTTTCCACGAACACGTAAACCTAACTGGAGCTACAATACAACAGCATCTCTTTCCACAGAATGGCAGGGTGGAAGAAATAGTGCAAAAATCATACTTTGCACTTATTTTGGACCCAGAAAGACCACAGACTTCACCTATTATTATGAAATAATCAGAGATAGTATTCTGGAAGCAGTACTAGCAAGGCACCCTTCACTTTAAATGAGGTTAAAAAAAAAAAAAGTCTTGAAGAAACCCACCATCCAGCCAGAATATTAAACTAATTCCAATTATATTCTAAATTTGCATCACACATTTTGATGCTTTCCTTCCAAGTTTTCCAATTCTGTAAACAAATATCCAGTTTTTCAAGAATCCGTATCCTCCTACATTAAACATAGCTGCTGACTAAGAGCCCTTAGCCCTTCTCGGATGGCCTTCCTCGATCCCTTCCTTCCAGGGCCAAGAACCCAACCAGAACAAGCTGCCACCAGCAAACTCCCGCATGCCTGAGCACGGGACACGGGTATTTTTCCCAGCCATCTGCAAAGATCAGTGGTAGCAGAAATGAAGGGAAGAACAGAAACTGCAATTTTCTCATGTGACAAAACTGCTCAGTCAAGATGAGAACAACAACAGAAACCTTGAGAGTTTCTCCCTGCCTGTCACCTTCATTTGTGCCTGCAGGCTAATCTTAGCTGCTACTCTTCTCTCTAGCAGGCCTTCTTTAGGCACACAAATTTCCATTTCTCCATTTTCTTTCAGCAGAAATTAGTTGGAAATAGCCTATTGCTTCATGAAGTATCTGATAAGGACAGAACAACTAGCCAGTGCCACAACAAGGTGGAAATGGAAGCAATGAGGCTTTTAGTGTCAGGAAAACAAGAGATATTGGCTTCCTGTACTGAGGCAGGACTAGGATTAACTACAGAAAAGTCAAGAAACAACAAGCCCTCATTTTAAGAGTAGCTTAGAAGAACTGGCCGTGACCTTTATAGGTTTAAACAAAGAGGTTGGTGCTCTTAGGGCTGTCACTACTGTGGCAGTATCACTAACAGCCTCCCCTGACCACAAAACAGCATAGATACATATCTACAGATACACACGCACGTATGTCTATACTCACACGTGGTTCACACCAGCTGGACCATGACAGAATCAGTGTTTTATCAGCAACTGCTCTTTGGCTCCCCTGAAAACATTAATGTTATCCACAGCAAGTGTAACAAAAATGACCAGAAAGTCTGTACAAAGAAAAACGGCCACACGAAGCTCTGCAGCAGCATACGAGACAGCTCTAACGGTGGTATTTTGTTTTTCTGCATTTTTTTATTATTATTTTTTTTTCCTTCCCAGAACAGAAACCACATCAGTTCCCAAGTTGGAAGCCTGTGCAGGACTGCACAATGCACCAAGATCTGTTAGTTTATTTATGCCTTGGTATCAGCTGCTTAATGGATAAAAGGAGGCTCAGGAGCCTGAAATGTTAGGATTTGCTATGTGGAAAGGAAATAATACGAGGTCAAACCTTAATGAAAGGCTGAATCCTTCCTTCCTTGCCACAGACACCTTTTTTTTCCTTGCAGAATCCCCCCAGATTGTACTTCCCCAGCACCAAAATCGAATGATTTTTAATTATCTTGATCAACTCTGTACTTGCCACCAAACAACTGGAAAACTCAAGAATCAACTCAGAGACAACCAGCTACAGCATATGAGATGCTTGGCACTTTATTCTGGAGAGGGAATAGAGCACCACCGGATCTTCAGCTACTCCAAGGTGGAAGAACCAGGATAACATTTAAAGGAAATAAGTCAGCAAGAAGTCAGTTGGACGAAATGCAACCAGAAAACCCAGGATTAGTAAGAATTTCCTCTTTGCCTTAGTTTGGGTGTGGTGACAGCGAGGAGACAGCTCAAAAACAGAACGAGAAGGGTCAGATCTCAGCAAAAGGAAACAGGCCAGCAGTAAGAGTCTACTTTTACCAGCAGAAACGAGTTTAGAGCAGCAAGAGTCAGGACTGTTGCATTGCAACATTAATAAGGGTCTCCTGGACAGATAGAAACTAACCTGTGCTGGAAGCAGTGCAAGACATGGCACGAGTAAACAAGCCTCCGCTGAACCCTCTACTGATGAGAATCAAGCAGACCAACTTTTATCTGTTTTAGATATTACTGATACTTCTGAGACTCACAGCTTTTAACATAAGATCTGAAAGGACTACTTATTTTTCAGGTGAGGCATAGTTGTAACCACTGCACTCCTCAAGGAGCCCAGGGAAGCCCACGTTACTCAGCTCTTCTTGGTCATGTAGAGCAAATGCTTCCAGATTCCAGCAGACACACTGGAGACTCCATGTGGGAAACTTTTTCCTCAGCCATTTCAAAAGGAAAATGACAACCTAGATGAGTTAGACTGTCCACTTACACATGTCTATTATCGACCTTTACTACAATATATATAGAAAAAATCCCCTGTGGCGTGATTCTGCGCAAGTGTTTTGTGCTTCGCGTTGCATATTCCTTAGGAAAAAGCACCACATAGAGGTATGCAGAATTTGGTAATAAAACTGATGACTGGCAGAAGTCTGAGCAGACAGTTTATATTTATAAGCTTCCATAACTAGTTGTTTAAAATGAGATGCTAGAAATTTATAATCTGTGCCCTCCTTGGGAAAAAGGAGCTAACAGCTACTGACAGTGCATATGGCACCAGGGCCAGCAGTAGCTGCGGGAACTGGTCATTGGTCAGGAATTGTCTCCTCTGCGCATAAGAGAGGCAGAAGAGATTGGACAAACGTGACTTCCTACGCCAGAACAAAGTGCCTGTTCTTCAGCTTTCCCGAGTCTGACAGGATTAGAAAGTCACAATACAAAGGATGACCACACATAAAAAAGCAGTTACTGATTCTTTCCCCTGAGATGGTGGATTTTGAGCCATAAAAGGAACATCTAAAATCTTTCTGAAGCTGTCACTCAAAGTTCTACAGCAGTTGAACTGTACTTCCCCAACCAGGTAGCTCCTTGAACTCAGGTAACAGTCTTGGAAACAGACTTGTGAGCTTTCAACATTAGATTCTTTTATTCTCTCCTACTGTGTGACACACACACATGCTCTACTCCACTGGTAGTTTTCTTACCTCTCATTTGTCTTTCCTGTTGCTCCCTCTCTTTCTTGGCTTGGATGGCAAGCAGGCGCCTGCTCTTCACGGCACTGATCATATCATCAGCCTCTACTTCTACCCGGTGCTCTATTTTCACTAGCTCATTTTTTTTCTTTTCGTTTCTCCCCATTGCATTCTCATCCTTCCCATTCTCCTTGTTCTTGGCCACCATTTCTTTCCGCTTCTGTTTCTCTGCTCTCTTCTTGTCATTCTCTTCTTTCAGGGCAGCAAGACGCTCCTTCCACAGCTCAGCAGACATCTGCTGCTTGGCCTCCACATGGTCCTGCACGGAGTAAGTCATCAGAATCCGGTGGCAGAGAGCTGCCAGTATTTGCAGTTTCTCTTCAGGAGTCAGCTCAAAGAACTCTGATGTCTCCAGTTTCTCCAAAAACTCATCCCGTACTTCATTATCCTCAAAAGTTGCCGAATCCTTGCTTTCATCCACGTTATCCGAGACCTCACTTTCCTCTTGTACATCTGACTTGCGCAAGCACAGGCGGACCAGCTCAGAAGCAGAGTGCAGAGTAAGTGGTATTTCAGAGAGCTTCATGCCCAACTCGGCGTAATCCTCTGCAATTTCATCCTGCAGCAGCGTCTGCAGGAGAATGACCAGCACCCGGTTCAGGTAAAGAAAGCCCCCTTTCTCTGCACAGAGCGCTTCCATCAGAGAAACTGCTGTAATGGGATACTGAGCATCTGGCATCAACAACCCTGAATAGCAGCTCAGGAATTCTACCACCATGGCTACATCCCCAAAGAGAGTATTGGGCAGTCCTTCTGGAGTATCAACCAGTTTAAAACTAGGCAAGGTTTTCCCTTTAAGATCTTGGTCCTCAAATCTTTTCTGATTTTCCAGTTTTTCTTTCATTTCCTTCTCCTTCCGCTCCTTCGCTCTCTCCTTCAGTTTCTCTTTCAGCTTCTCCCTCTTCTTCTTCAGATACTCCTTTCGCTGCTCCTCTGTCATGGTGGCCCATCTCTTCCTGTGCTCTAGGAGCTCGTAGCGTTTCTGCACCAGCCCTCGTAAGTCTTCGGGGAGACGGGCACGATCCTCATTTGAGAGCAACCTGGCAGTTTTGGAGATGATGCAGGAAAGGGCACTTTTCTTGTCTTCCCGGTCTTTGTTTTCTTTGTAATAGGCAATGAGATGGAGTGCTGCAGGAGGCAGTTTCTGGGGTTTGCTGGAAGACCTAGGGGTGCCTCCTGAATTCCTAGGAGACCTGGACACCTTAGTGGTACCTTTTGCCATGTCCAGTAGTGTCATTTGTTTCATCTTCATCTTTGGAGCCTTCAAGCCTTTTCTAGGAGATTTTGATTTCCCAGATGATTTCTGCCCATTTAAAACCCTTTTGCCCCTCTGCTTTTTGTCCAAGGATTTGTTGTTACCCTTTCCCAATCGGCTCCTCTTTGGAATGTGAAAGTTAGGGCCAAGTTTACCAGGTGACACTATTTTCATCACCTCTTCCAACTCCTCTTTGGGACATTTTGAGTTCTTAGAGTTTTTCACTTTCAGTGGAGACCCAATAATAGACTTCTCCAAATGCACGTGACACCACAGAGTAGGGCTCAGCGGCTGACCCAGGGATGATCCATCAGCTTTGGATTTCTTGGAAGGTTTTCTGTCTGGTGATCCGGAGCTCTTCCTCTTGGTTGATGGGTTGAGAGTCATATACTATAATTAAAGCAAAAATATTCTACGTTAATATTTTAAAGCAAAGAAAAAGTGATGGATATTGGAAATCTAGCTCTTGCGTCAAGCTTGAGCAAACCTGATTGTTTTCAAACCTGATTATTTGAGAATTTAATTCTAATGTTACTGGATAGCTGATCATTTAAAGCTGATTTTTAAATAGTCTAGCTTTTAGCCTACTTTCACCACAAAAAAGTTTGACTCAGAGTGAGACTGGCTTCAGAAGCATCTCAGCATCCCAAATTCAGGTTCAGAGTGCATTCAGTATTAATTAATGAGAAATGAAAACATAAAAAAGAGTGAAAAATACAACCTAGAACATGTGCAGAAATATAACCTTTAGGTTATGAGTAAAGTTACCAGAAATTATGAGCTGAAAAATTAAGATTATTAGAAAGAAAAAAAAAAAAGGGAAACTTGTAGTAGTAAGCATACTAAAAATAAAAAAAATGCAGTCAAAGAATTACTTACATGCAAATACACAATGTGATCAAGTTAGAATTAGAAGTATTTTTTATGAGACTCCTAGATTTTCATTGTTATCAGGCCTTACCCCTCATTTAAGGGTCTTCATTACTCCAATAGAGAAATCTACACTGAAGATAGCAGACTACTCGAATCACTGTTTAACTTGGTTCTGCAACAATTCTGTGTTGACATTTTTGCTGAAGAAAATTATTTAAGCTGAAAACATTCAGAACTGCTATGAATCATGATAATTACAAATATCAGATTTGCAGTTCATACCATATATTAAACTGTCACAAGCACAAAGTTACTTTGCCAGAACACTAATTCTAGATTAGTGCATTCTTCAGACACTTCTCAGCGTCTAAAATTCAAGGGAAATTCAAATGGGAAATGTGCCATGGAAAAAGCCATCCCTAAATATAACGCTAAGCTTATGGAAGTCACATTAAAATGTTACAGGTGCATATTTTTTCTTTACTCCAAGCATGCCTCTGCCCATCAGTGCTCCAAATAAAAACCTTGCACACTACCACAAAAAACCTTCTAGTAAAAAGGGTGAACCCAAATACTAGAGCAGGGTAAATGCAGCTCATATAAGAAGAATTAAGTTTTTAATTAAATGAGTTTGCAAATTTGTAGAAAATCCCAAGGAAGCTGTCTTCCTAAAGAGAAAAATGATATACCAGATACTTCTGTTCTTGTTATACAACGGAATTTGACAAAGCTTGAGTCCACATGGACACAGGCTTAGCAAATAAAAAGATAGTTCTTTCTATACCCAAAGATGGATTCTAAGACAGCAGGATTGTATGACATTTACTCCATTAACAGTGTATTTGGATGGTCACTGCAAAGGACTGAGGACAAAAACATCTCAGCTATTTAGTGCGTTTGGTATATTCAATATGAAGATTTGCAGGATCTGCTGTGGAGTTAACCAGGGAATCCTGGAATTGATGGAAAGCATGCAACAGGATTTATGCAAAATCATCTGATACACGACCCAAAACGCACAATATCATTTGTGAATCACTTGTGCACAGATTCTTATATTTAACTTCCTTCATGGAGCGAACAGCCATTCCTCAATCCAGTACCACAGAAGGACCAAGTATTGTACAGTCAGAGATATCAAACTCTTCCACTTTGACCATGAAAATGCTCCAATAACAGATATTACCAGGTAAGGACTATAGCTCTTCTATTTTTCCCCTCACATAAGGAAATCCCATTATTTGGAGGCAAGTAATGAAATCACTCCTGGCAAAGCTAAGAAAACACGGTCACATCAAAGCTCGTGGTTTCAATATGGATCGCTGTTTCAGATATTCAAGTGATTTAACCTCACAAAGAGCAGAACTCTTTTCAGAAGAGCAGACTTCCCTGCTCTGCATCTTTCTAAATTTAAGCTCAAGAGCACCAAAATCCAACAGACCCACAGAAGCCTTAGCCAAGACTTTCTCACTTATTCCCCACCATTAAATCCAGAAAATATTCATACAAATTCTTACCTTATGTGGGTCAAGCAGGAAGTCACTAAATTTACTGGGCAGAGCATATTTCTTCACTAACTCATCCTCCACGACCCACGGGGCGTTCTCGCCGGTGCCGGCCCGTAGCGCGTTGTGACGGATGAAGTACCTCAGGATCTCCTTGTTGGGAGGCCGCTCCGTACGGACCAAGCTATCTGCTGGTACGTTGCTGATGATCTTGGAGATAACGTAAAAAGACAGACTGTTCATATTCAGCTTTCAGTGATGTTATAGATGCATGTTATACAGCAAAAAGGAGAAGTGACCGTTATAATGTTTCAGATCTGCAAACCCTCTCTCTGAAGCTCAATGTGACAGAGATTGGAAGAAGATTCAGTTAGCTAAAAAGGTCATCAAAAACAATGTATGTTGTAGTTTTCTTGCTAAACTCTGTTGCTTTATTTAGCAACAATAGAAACTTCTGCTCTTCCCCGGCACGTGTTTACTACCAACTTAAAAGCTTTTACATATCAGTGTTCTGGTTTTTATATTTTTTCCCCTGAGAAGAAAGCAGGAGCTCTGCAAGCTGTACTCATTAAGTTGAGGTCAACACTGCCTTTCTATCAAATTAGCAAACAGATAATAAAAACCACACATAGCAGTACAGTAGCAACACAGTGCTTCTTGAAGTGCAATTGCTTATGACTCATCACAATTTCAGTTAGAACTAACATTATTAATAGAGTTTACCTCTGACCAACCTTGATTAATTGTCTGACCAGAGATTAGGCAGTTCACAGTGACAACTCTCAAGCTGACCATATCATTGTGACTCGGTTGTAGAAACAGCCAAGTTCATCATCCTAACAGACAACTGCATAAATACAAGCAACCCACTCCCAACCCCATGACTGCTTCAGGGGGTTCTATATTGTGCTGTATAGGCAGACTGAGCATTTATTTAAATCAAAATCATATGCTCATGTTATACCAGAAAGAACCCAAGCAGTCATCTCACCTTATCTTCATTTTTCAGCTTCACATCATATTTGTGTGGCAGAAATTTAGGTGGAACCCACTTCTTTTCCTCCTTCTTCAATGAAGTAGGAAGCTTCCGAGGAGATCTACGTGCTCGATCGTCTGGAAAACAAACGAGGAAAGACATTAAGCTACTTAGTGTCAAGAGCGAGAAAAGTGAAATCCACATTGTGCCTGGAAGTCAATCTCCCCTAATTGCCATGTATAGAGGAGCTGGTTAAACATGAACATCAGGAAAAATTCCCAAATCCTGGTTTAGAATCATTCTAAAAGCGCAGGCTGGGAACAGAGTCCCAAAATAGAAGATAGCACCAATCTTTTAAGGACTATAAAGGACCAGTTGAACTGCTTAAACAAATCTTTTTATGGAAAGGAAGCTCCAACCAGCTATATGAAGACAGAAAACTTCTATGAGGTTCATAAAGAGGAAAAAGGCCTTTAACACCTAAATCTCTCTAAACATTCCAGAGTTGCTGCCATGATCCCTAGTTGTCTGACATCCTACATCTCAACTAATTCTATTGCAGGAATTACTAATTCTAAGTTAAAATAACTTTTGAAATCATTTACCTTCATTGGCTTTAAAGTGTCACAAAACTATTACAAATGTCTTACTATTATTAGCCCATGTACACATTATTAGCCCATGTACACATGGGCTAATTAAGCTGAAGATTTTAAGCTTTTTAAGACAATTTTTTAAATTATTATTCTTAAGGTGAATGTAACCAAACAGAGTAAAGGGGGAATCACCTGAGAGCAGATATTGGGTCTACTATTTTTATATTCAGGCTACAAATAATAACCACCTATAATTAAAACAAGCTCATTGAAGATCCTGATCCTCAAACCTTTCTGTTTGGAGGCATAACTCAAAGCAAATGCTAAAGCAAGCATGATGGATGGAAATAATTATTTACTAAGTACATAGAGAACGCAAGTCATAAGATGCTAGATCCAAGTCAAACATGATTTATACATGCATATATATATTTTATATATAAATCTCTTAAATTTTGTAGAAAGAGTCACAGTGCATGTGAAGCGAGACTAACCATCTCATTGCGCGTCAGGCTGCAAATTAACTTTTGTTTTCCATTTCTCAAAAATCTTGGTCCTATGCTTTGCTTCTCTGGTCATTATTGAGCAGAGAGCAATGGAAGTTGCTTACGAGACACCAAGTTGCAAGAGATCTGCTTTGAGAGATTTGCTTTAAGGCCTTCCAAGTGGTCAAGTGTTACCTTGACTGGCTGTGAGGGCAAGTTTACATTTAAGAAGTAAGAACATGTTGCTTGGACTTTAAAGGACTGAGGTTAAAAAGCCACCTCAGTGACCTACCCTTTAGAAATGATTTACTTTCTAGAGCCTAGAAGTAGGGATGAGCATTGAATTTTAACAGGCATGGTGTTGAAGGGCTTACAGTTGGTCTTGATGATCTTGAAGGCCTTTTCCAACCATAATGACTCTATGAATTGCACTAAACAGTAACTGGATTTCTGATTAAAAACAAAATACTAGGCATTTTTTTCTGAAATTATTTTTTATAAACCATATGCTTCAAGTGAATTGTACTTTAATAAGCACTTTAATAAGTACTTTAATAAGACTTACATTAGCTACACCATTGGAACCTCATGAAAGCATCCAAATGATGTTGCTCCTTCAGCTCACCAAATGTTTTGGATTTTCCAAAGCAGTATTAACTCCAGCTACAGCTCAAGCTGTAGAACCTGCCTTCAGTAGCTGACCATCAACGTTCAGGAAAAACTAGCCTTTTTCTCTCATTTCTGCAGATTTTTCTTTCCAGAGTTCAATCCCTAAGCAACTAAAAATACAAAGCCAGTTCAGACTGCACATCCAATGCAATAACTCTTGTATAAAGAACTAGGCTTAATTTCTGAAGCAGAGTAGACCATAAGCCCCACGGCACTGAAGCTCTTCTCCCTCTCTGCCTCTTTCCTGCAAGAAAACCAGCAAGTTAGACCCACCTATAACTAAAATGCTAAGGTTAGCTCTGCCCCCTTGTGTGCACACAGAAACATACAGCTTTTTGCATGACATAGTGTCATATACAGGGTCAGCTGTGACTTTTAAATGCTCCTTCTGTACTGACCCATGTTACAATGACCAAGTATACAACTTACCAGAAAAAAAAGGAAGAAAAAAAAAAAAAAGAAAAAAGTGCAACCAGGTGACACCCAGATACTGCTTACAGTTTCTTTCAGAATCTGAACCCACTAAATAAAGCATTTTTTTAATGCAGTTAAGTCTCCGCTGTAGCATACTTTATAAATATCCAAAATGTTACATTATAATTTTAAGTGGACTTTCGAATATAGATAGCACTAGCTAATGAGTTTTTACATCTGTAAATCATGCTCTGCTACAGTCAAGGATATAAAAGTATTAGCAATTAAATATCCTTGGAATTAATATATATGCACATGGAAAATAGCTAAAATACAAATGCTTCCTGTTTTGGCTGATAATTTTATCACTCAACTGCTAGTGCTTTTGATTTGAGTTTTATCTTCTAAGGAAAGTGACCCAGGTGAATCCAGATCAGGTAATGAGCCAAGTCAGAGCCTGAGCACTGCAGAGGAATCGCCCCTGCAAGAAGCTACGTCGCTCTTCAAGGGGCCACACTGCTATTTTGGCAAGACTGCAGCTGAAAGCAGCTGGTTAGATGGCTGGGCTACACTGAAAAAAGTATGTTCTTCAAAACACCCAAAAGCAAAGATACTGCTGTGAATTTGGCTAATGATGACTTATAAAACGTATGAAAAAATACTCCCTTTTTTTTTTTTTTTTTTTTTTTTTGGGAAGTGGCTGAAGAGAATTATCACCCAGTGACATGTGTAGGTCCCTGTCCAAGCACTCCTATTGCTTCAAAGGATGGGCTTAGGGCCAGGATGTTACCTGCAATAAGTTTTTCTTCTTCCCTGGTAATACAGATTAGTGCATGAAATCAAAACACTTTATAACATTTTCTGGTACAAATCAAAACCTGTTGATGATTAACTTTGGACTAGAGCTTGGAAGACATGGTAGTGTAGTCCTGACTTTGCTATTGATTTCTTCTTCTCTAATGGGGAGGCCAAACACACCTTCCTCAGACGTTAGCGTGGCTGTTTGGAAATGAAAGCAGCTCATTACATTTATGTGCCTTTAAGTTCAGCTATTCAGATTAGAGCTTTATTCTTTTTTATAGCACTTTTGAAAAAGACTCTTAAGAAATTTTTCAGTTTCCTCCCACTCCTCCTTTTAAACTGCACAGGACATGAAACTAATCTGTTTTTTCCTTTTAACAGTACCATTTCGGAGTCACAAAAAGCTTTGGATGTCCAGCATTTTGTACTGCAGCAAGGAGGAACAGATATGAGAAAGTGGAAGTGTGTTTCAAAGCATGCTTTATTTTGAACCCTTCAAAAAAATTTAACGCCCTTTTCTGCACTTTCTTTTCCCTTTCTGCATTTGAAAACCAGAAAGCTGAGGGGCAAAATATCAAAATAAAACCTGCTTTCAATGTCAATTGGGGAGATGAAAGAAAAAAAAAAAGATGGCTTGTTTCTGACTGCAGAAGCACAAGCTTTGAACCGAGGATGTTTGTTCTGATGATGAGGTAAGGATATCACAGCAAAACTTAATGATTCCACATACACTTTTTAAAAAAAAAAAAAAAGTTTTCTTCATTCCTTCCCCCTTCCTTTCCTCCCACTTTTTTCTTAAATAAAAAAATATATGCTTAGTATACCTTCAAAGCTTGTGAGTTTCCACATACTGCTTTTAGCATTATGCCTTAAATGCATTTTCTGCTTTAAAACGAAACAGTCAGCAGCACTAATGACAAGGAAACCGCATCACTGAAGATGAAAATGTCAGGTTCATAAGCCAATAAACTCTTGAAATACCACGCTGAACATTTGTAGCCCAAGATGTACACAAATTGAGCTGCTTGTTCACTCAGTTGCAGCAGTTGTGTGACTGGCATGGTGTCTTACTACTTACTCATACTCTCCCTCCTGTTGTCATCCTCCTTCAGGATGGATTCCTTCTGGTTGTCCTGGGCTACCTGGCTGGAGTTCTCTTTGTCACTGGATGGGGAGTCACAAGTGCCATCAGATTTCTTTTCAGAGGCCTCTTCGTCTACTTTCTCTAAGGGATGTATTTTTAAAACCTTCACAGGCAACATTTTTTCCTTACCAACCTGTGCGGGAATAAATATATATATATTTATAAAAGCTGAACTTGAACAAGGAACACACACTGATAAGTGTAACACTGTGAGCAGGAGAAGCTAAAGAAAAACAAACAAACAAAACAAAACCACAAACAAACCCACAAAATTAAATAAAAAGAGCCACAAACTGTTGTTTGACACAACACTTTCTTGAGGAAATCACTGTGTGTCTTAGCAAAGGGGTATAGGAGTAGTTTAAAAAAAAATCCTACCTGGAAGTTCTGTACAAACTGAGAAATAGAGACTACCCATCAGCAAGTTTTCAACTGTTTAATAGTGCTGCTTTCCCAGCCTAATTAAGTGCGTGGGCAAGAGGCAAAGTGCTATATCAGGACCTCCATCAGCCCTAAATGGCCTTCCAGCAGGGAGCTTTTCATAACACCTTCCCTTAAAGCTTGCCCTTACTTTTAACAGTCTTGAGTTTTCTCCATCAGTTCAAGTTCTGGAGGGAACTATTTTTTTTTTTTTTTTTTAAACTATTAGGACTTGCCAAGCAGCAGAGTTCAAGCTACGTCAGTTTAACACTGCTTGTCCTTTGGAGGACATGCTATATGAAAAAACTACTACACAGTAAGCACATATACAAAAGTATATATTTTTAAGTGACTAATATTATCTATAGAATCTATCTATAGAATATTAATAATATCTATATAATAAAGATATCTAATATCTTTATCTGCACATAAACAGCTCTAAAATATATCACCATTTCCTTCCAAATCAATCACTTTTTCTCAGTACAGGTCGCCCACATGCCTTTGCTTAGGGAATATTTTTCTATTTAACTACTGGAAAAGCAGGTGCTCTCCCTGGCACCATCTTTCAGCTAGTGTAAGTGGCCAACACTGGGCCTCTTCTTTTGATTATAGATTAAATAAATAAACAAACAAACAAGATAACGTGCAGAAGCATGGGAAATAATGGAAAACAGAACCTTACCTCAAAGGCACACTCTTCTCCCACCGCAAATTTGGTCATGATCTCCAGCCAAGCAGCATCTACCAACTTTTCCAAAGAGACGGTGTTGTGGTGGACTATCTCCAGTACCAGTTTCTCATACCAGATGGGGAACTCTTCCTTCAAGCTGAGCAAGGACATGAGACACTTTCGTGATTTGGGAAATAAAAGCCAAAGTGCAAAGGAGTCCCCCAGTTCACAACTTCCAAGAACATTAGCAGCCAAGGCAATGGGGCAATTTGCCTCGTGCATTACGATGCAAAGATCTGCAGGCTTTTTGGGGTATCCCCCTTCCACACTCTTCTTTTTCCAAAGCTCTTTCAGCTTCCCAAACTAAGGCATCTATTGTAGACCGAGTCATCAGCTCTATTCTGCAATCACCACGAACAAATTTGTCCCTACAACAAACTGCTTGAACTTTTTGATTCAGATGGGTGACAGGTATTAAAGTAGTCAGTGAACTCCCTAGGAAACTTATAATCCTGTTTCAGAGACAAGTCTAAAAATTGCATTTCACAGAATCTTTTTTTCCTTCACATTTAGCTTAAACTGGGTTATTGAACAATCTTTCATTAATATTCCATTTTCATTTCTGAATGTTTTCCGGAGTGGCCAATTAATTAAGCATCACTACTCAAAAGAAAGTGACATTAAACTAGTATACTTGAACTTGGTCACTTCAAGATTCTGTGTTTATAGAGGCAGCTAGATACTCTGCCCTCAAACAAGTATATTAGTGAAGAACTGAACACAACTACTTCAAGCTCAGAGAAATTAGGACCATCAGGAAACATATATGCTTCTTTAAGAATGTAATTAACCTTCTGTTATGGGGAATTTCTCCTTAAAAGCTATTAATTTCCTTGCCAATGAATCAAAAATCTGTATTACTCTTTAATATTTGCTGTATTAAAAAGACAGCAGAAAATTTCTTAGGTAGTATTATAACAATCTCCCCAAGTAGATCAAGGAACAAGTCATAGGAATCCAAGTGAATTCATAGAACAGAGAAACATGTTGCTTGTTTGGCATCAAGTCCTGCTGTGCAGCAATCATTAAATAGGGCACACACGTGGGTTCAGCCATGGACTTGCACCTTGGAAGCAGAGAGCAAACTGGATGTCAGGCCCTGCCCGCTGGGCTAGAGGGGAGGTCAGGGACAGCAACAGGGAAAAACAGGGCTGCTCTGAACACAGTAAATTCCCTGGCTGGGTTCCTTTTGTTCGTTACTGCTTCAAGGGGAGGCGATTCCCAAACTTTTACTAGTTTTACTTGTTGTATATAGTGCAATGGCAACACCAATGCAGATCTGGGAAAAACATTTATGGCTGTAGACCTCACTGATGTGAAACCCTCCAGGGGCTTGACCTTATATTTCTCCTTTACTTCCTTCGAGATCATTTTCTTCTGAAAAATTCCCATGATTTAGCTTTAAAATTGGCCAAGTACCAATGTTGAACTATTTCTGTTAAAGCGACATGAAGATGCAGAACACTTAGTAAGTATATTAGTCCAATGCATTAGTGACGGCCTCGAATTTGGACTTAATTTGCTTTCAACTCCAGAATCCCTGCATCTACTTAGTCAGTAAAAATCTACCTACCTCCAAACCAATTACATATATCACCCAAATCCACTCCTCTGCCCCAGTGCCTGAAGACAGACACGCACCAACCCCTGCGCTGATACTCACAGCTCAGCGACCTCCTGCTCCTCCTCCCAGGCTTCTTTGTGTGTCAGCTGGCTGCTCCCGGTGCTTTTGCACGTCCAGATTCGCTCGCTGTATCTTTCGAGCCGGGCTTCATACTCTCTGCAGGAGCAGCAGCTCAGGAAAACAGGATGTATGGAGCGGAAAGCACAACCAAAGTAGCACAAGACCACCAAATTCAATTAAACCCTTCCTATTTGCTTGCATGAAGGGCAAGAAACATTGCAGGGTTTACCATGGAGACGCTGCTTTCAATCCAACAGGATGCGCTGGAACTTTCTGCAGCCCAAGTGGCCGTCCTTGCTCTGCGCTGGCAGGACAGAAGAGGCCTTGCCACTGGCAATTCATCAACTGCACTAAACACACACGGCTGAAAAGGTCTGGGTTTTGCCAACCTACTTTTCAGCTTTCTGGAGCTTATTCACTCATAAATGACACAAACGTATCATGGGCATGAGGCGCAGACAGGGTACAGTTAAGCATCTCTGTTTCTGAATGTCCAAAACCAAGAGTTGGGGAACCCTTTAATTCCATGTGCTACTGCTCTAATATCGCAAAGTGGGGAGCATTATAAATACAAGATGCAAAGTCTCAGTTTGCCCAATACTCTAATCATTTGTGGACAAAACAAAAACAAAACAACACACACAAAAATGAAATTAAAAGCAAAAGACAGTATGTCTTTCCTGTATTTTCCAACAGTAACTGTCTCCTAGGTTAGCACAGAACTAGCAGTTTTCTGATCAACAGCAATGCCTATTTCCTATGTCCCATTTAAGTGACTCTGGCCATTAAGAGCAGCAAAGGAAATTACTGGAGTCATCTGCAGGCAGCAGCGCGCGTTACAGCATCGCCTGCTCCGAGTGAGCATCTGTGCCCGTGCTCTGCTCAGTCTACCTGAAAAGTAATTATCCAACAGTGAACACAGACACACAAGGCACCTTTTGTTTTCTATGAATAGTATATGTTGGGGGATAATTATAACAAAAACTACCACAGTGCGAATCTGCATTTGCCCCATGAAAGCCTGCTTAAGCTGCCTTACCCTGACCTGAAGGAGGCCAGAAAAGCACCCTTCCCTCTGCCTGCCGTGCCTTTTCCATCAGAAAGGGAAGCACAGAGCATTCTTGTGCTAACTACAGCGGCTCAGCCCTCTGCCATGCAAGTGCTAATTCTGAAAGCGAGCACACTACAGGAACAGATTTCCCTACCCTCCTGTGAAGGCAAAGTTACCAGCCACAGCAAATCACTCGTCTTGTTCGGAGCATACTTCGTTTTTCAAGAAAATCTTAGTGGGACTTAATTTTTTAAATAAAGATTCCTACTAGGAAGGCAAGGCACAGCTGCAGCAAACCTCGTGGACATTTCTCCACCAGTCCTTAGCTAACAGAAAGCTACACTGTGAACACTGACAAACAGCTACGCCATAGCCACAGCAACTGGTGCTATGCAAGAAAATAGAGTAACCTTCGGAGAAATTCGCCATTGCTGATAGCTTAAAGTTTCCTCTGTCTGCAATGGGTTTGAAAGCTGAGAAGAAATCGGCAGTTTTACAAGCTCTGACAGCACAGCTTGTGCAATGTCCCATTCTTAGATTGGGTTGCACATCCAATGGATTGGACAGGCCTCCAATAAGTTTTGAGCCCTCTGGCCAAATTTTCATCCTTCTTAAGTCTGAGGATTCAAAGATTAGGTTATTATTAAGTTTTCTTCCTCCCCCCCCCTTTTTTTTTTTTAAAAAAAAAAAAAGAGGCTGCTGTAAGTCTGACAAGACAGGCTTAAATCAATGCAACCATAAATAGCAGAACTCAGCTGCTCTGTACTCAATTTTGACCTGCATACCGCAATGCCCAGGTAGCTCCACTGCTTTTTCTCCTCCCCCCAGGTGAATTACAGAACACGAGCGAAAAGCCCCCTCAATAGCAGAACTCAGCTGCTCTGTACTCAGTTTTGACCTGCATACCCGCAATACCCAGGTAGCTCCACTGCCTTTTCTCCTCCCCCCAGGTGAGTTACAGAACACGAGCGAGAAGCCCCCTCGTGCTGGCCGAGCAGCACAGAGGTGGCAGGTAGAACCCAGAGTGCACAGGGCACCCACCACCTTCATTAAAATGGCAATCGCAGATTCCATAGTGGTGTTAAGCAGAAAATCATATGGGAAAGCAGGGCTCCTGCTTGTATTTACAGCAATTAATTCTAATAATGCTTAAATGGCAGCCATAATGCTACTCCCTTCCCACAAGAAGGGCCACTAAAACCACATTCAGTCATCACAGCAGAGAGGAACCTAAACCCAAAGACCAGAGCAGTCTTCCCTCAGTGACCCCACCTCATATTACCCTGGGCTTTTCCTCTGCAAGTGCATAGACAGCACCTGGGTACCAAAAACTCACAGGTGCCATAAGTGCAAAAAAAAAGAAAAAAAAATAAGGGATCAACACATTTGCATTAAAAAAGTCCACAAAATTTTAATATTCTAACTGAAGCTAAGTATTTGAGATACGCCAGGGCGAGAAAATTAAGGTTTTCTTTCCTACTATGCTTGCCAGCTCTTTGTTCTCTCTAGTCCTACAGAGTCCTTTCCTTTTACAAGCAAGAGAACAAATAAATGCACAGCTCCAGTTGATAAATACATATTTTAGCACTGTTTCTCATACAGGCAGGAAGAACCACAGCAACTTCAACCAAGGCTTCTCCTTCCTTGTATACGTGAGTGAGAACAAGCTCAGTCCCATCAACACGAAAACGCTGCTTTTAAGATCGACACCAACGTTTAAAAACAGCAGATAGAGCAATTCCCCCTCCAGATCAGCTCTGTCTCTCAAATGCAACTTAATTCCACCTACAGCTGGTCAGCTCTCGTCTAACACTGACTCCTGGCCACAGTCTTTAACTTGCATTCTAGGTTCAGCCCACCAGGTCTACCCAGCCTTTGTGGCCCAGGCATGAAAGCCCCCAAACCAGGCTCTGCTTCAAAATTCTGGGTGAGGACAAAGACAAAAATCAGGAGAATATTGCCACAAGTTTCCTGTACATCTAACAGAATCACTGCATGTATGCTATTTAGTCCTTTGCATTCAAACTGGAAGCAAACCCAATGTATTTCTGGTGATACAATGGGTCTGATTCAGGATTACAGGTGAGGTCTTATTGCTTTGCCATAACCAACCCTGCTTTCAACAAACAGCACGTGGTTGGAGCTCCCACTCACACAAACGCCAAACACAATAAGAAATTTTTAAAAAAGAAAAAAAAAGAATCTGAATGTCAGCTACTTGTAAACATCCTCCCAGCAGCAACAAGTAACACGCATGTTAAATTAGACAGATGACTACCCTCTGTGTAACAGCTAAACAAAATGTATTATACAGAAAATCCCCCAGACGCTGAGAGCCAGAAAACAAAGATTTTTTCAATTTAAAGAGACCCTCTGAAAGAGAGAAAAAAAAGTTTAAAAGTAAACAAGTTAACCACTGCATGTGGAGATGAGTAAGCGCCACTTAGTAACTGCTGGAGCAGCATCAGGACCTCAATAAATAGTATCAAATTCGAAATATCTGCAGAGTATCCTAATTGTTCCCACTTGTATTAGCTAAGATGTCAAAATTACCATAAAGTAGTGATGTAAAAATATTATTTCTTCCTTGAGCAGCCAAGCTTTCAGCAGGTGACGTGCCCATGTTTCCACCCTGCCATATACAGCCTTTGACACAGATTTGACATGAGGATGGGAACCGCAGTCTTTAACTTGTACGCCAAAGGCAGCCTGACTTTCCCTCATGTTTTCTGTGCTATTAACTATAGCAACCCCACACACTGATGGCAAAGATTGTCCAGCAGATTTTGTATTTTCCGCAGACATTAAACTCTCGGCACAGGCCCCAGACAGCCCCTTCCCCACGAGCATCCGCGGGGCGATCTGGGGCTCTGTCCCCCAGGAAGTGGGCAGCTTGCAGCAGCTTTTGGCAGCTTTTACACCTCGCACGCTTGCAGGAGTGGATCCTGCAGAGCTCCAGCAAAGCAGGGTCTATTTCTGACTTTGCCCAGTGATTCATCCATCCCCGCACCCACACAATTAGCAAGGCTCATTGCAAGTCAGAGACCAGAAGCCTAGGGCTTCTCTGCAGCGCCAGGGACTCTGCACAGCATGGGTTCTCTTAAAAGGTTTTAAGGGGATCTGGCAGCAGGAGGAAGCCATGCAAAGCTACAAATAAACGTCAGAGCCTAGTAAACACCCAAGCTCTGTCACCCAGTCTATCCTCCTGTCCACTGCTTTTAGATGCTTTCCAACACATGCCCACAGGGCAGATACCTCTCCTCCTATTTGTTATACAATACTCCAATTTCCATTTTTATTGGCTTAATCTACCACTACAAGTCATTAAAAAACGTCTAAAGAACTTTACATCTTTCAAATACCTCATTTGCATGCTGTATAAGGACTTGCACATCCTTAGAACCAGGGTCGATCAATAGTTTTTCAATAGGGAAAGCAAGGAAGTTCAAAAATACATTATATTCCACCAGGCTTTGGCATAAATGAAACCCAAAGCTGGTTTGAGTAAAGACTGTTACTTTGTTACTTCTTGACATATCCCTCCCTGCATGACATTTGGATTCAAAAACGCCATTTCTTTGCATTATCTAGGACAAACAGAAGGGACCAAGCCCCCCGTCAGAGCTTCTTTGGGTTATATCTCTCATAGTTGTCTCTCTCCAACCTACCGACTCATTTGCAATTTTCTATTCCAGTTTTTATGTCGCTCATGTTCCGGGGCGGAAGGAGGAAAAACAAAAAAACCCACACAACATCACCTAGTCTCTCATTTTAGTTTCATGATGTATATTTGCAGACATGGGTTTTCTAGAACATACTAGGCGGTTGGCCTCCCACTACGCCCAATACAATACTTTCTGCAAGAGCAGGGCATCTTTCTAGAATCCTTCCTAGTGTTTGCATGTGCTTCCTCTTTCATTCTTGCCCTGTGTCTAACACCATGATCTCTTCATGAGAAGTAATCTTTATTTTTTTTTTTCTTTTCATATTATCAGGGCATCTAAAGAAATGAGTCCTCTCTCTACTCACAGATCCACAAAAGTCACACAGATTACTCTCCTCAGGTGTCCCTCAGCTCCTCGGTGCCGGTCCTAA